TGCTTCGACGCACAAATTGGTAAATAATGCTTTCTACTTGAGGCAACTGCGTTATTTAGAGACTGGTACATATTCTGCACCTTCTAGATTAAAACGATCAGCTAACTGCAATTGTTGTTTGGCCTTCTCACTAAACTCACCTGCAGCTTTATGATCACCATTCTTATAAGCATTTTGGGATTTTTGAGAATACTCATTCCTTTTAGAATGGGCTTGATCAGCTAAGTTTCTTAATCTAATATATTCATTATCAGAAACATGGTTGTAATCTAATTTTTGATGTTGATTTATTCCATGAACAGCAGGTCCAGTCGCCACTCTAGCACTACTCATATTTATGATTGTTTGATTATTTCAATTGCTTGAAATGCAAATAAATAGTTAATCATAGTTCAACAAGAGTTTAGCCATCTCATCTCAACTCAACTCATCTCATTTATTTCCATTTCGATTGTTCCATTTAACCTTTAGTACGGAATAATTCGAAATGCCCTAATCATTTTTCATCGAAATTTCTAAAAATTTCGATTTAACGATATTCCATGTTCGGCTGTAAAACGGGATTTTCTTTTTCGTAATTTATGGATTTCGAAAAAGTTTTTGTATATAAACAGAGATAGAGATGAAGCTTATTTAAATATTTCTTTCTTTACATATTAGTCGTTATTCATGTTAATAATGCTATAGTAAAGTCATACCTAGGTAATCACACTTGGGTCACCAAGTGGTGTATACAATTCTATCATCTATATATGGAATGAGTAGTGTTCTTTAGTGCCAGGTTATTGTTATGTAATGACAGTCGTCGTTCTCTTTAACTAAGACTAGGAGACTTATTGTATTTCATATCTGTCTTTTTTTCCCGTTTTAATTACGAGAATATCAATCTCTTATTTTATGAGTTGCAATCTTTTGAAGTGATGATAAATGTCATTAACAGTGACATTTTCAACTAGTGACTAGCTATTTAGCAATGTTGTTTACTAAAATTACACCATCTTTCGGGGCTGATTTTAAAAATTGCAATACTCATTTAGAAAATTTCTTGTATCTTCTACTCTAACTCATAAATCTATTATAATTCATAAAATATGTAACCTCTTAAACAATGCTAATGATAACGTTTACTAGTTAGGGCTTTGACCAAATAACTGTCTTTCCATATGAGTTTGAAGACATTTATTCCCAAATGTAGCTTATGATACTGGAAAATTTCACCCATACACTACACGTAACATAACCAATAGTCACTTGAATGAAACTTCAAAACACCACATTCTACATTTCAATTCTATTTTAATTTTGGTATCGCAAAACTTTTGACAAAAAAACAAAAAATATTAGAGCGGTTCAGGAACCGAACCAGAACGAAAGAAACACCGCACAGAATACGGAATTTGATAAAATATTAGGCGAACGGCAATGAAAAAAAAAACAGCAAACCACGCAAAAATGGTTTTTGATCAATTTTTCGTAAGGTCTTTTTTTTCAAAATCTGAAATTCTTCATATACCAGCTATTTTCAAAAAGTATTTAAATGCCATCTCATCGATTTTCAATTAAAAGTTTGAATTCTTCATTTTAGTTTTTCATTCTTATTACAATTTATAAATCAATCAACCAAAGCAATACAATCACAATGGCTGGGTACGTATTCCACCAATTGAATAAAAGATAGTTTAACTATCTTACTAAGTTGAATATTTCCTGTTACGTCGAATTATGATTTCATCATAATTTGTTGTTTCATAGATGGACAAATGTTATTATTTGTTAACAATTGTAGGGGATTTCCTTTTTTCTTTGAAAGAGGACAAAGATATTGTAGTTGAAATTATGTCGTATACACCGTTCTTTAGTATTTTGATCATGATTTCTCCTGTATATCTCTGCATTTCCCTTACGTCGAATGAAAAGTGGTGTTTTCAGTTCGGCGTAACTTGAATCTATCTCACTTGGGTTACAATTTTGAATTTTTTTCTAACATCAATTTTTTTAAATTTTCTATAGCAAAGTTTTGACCCCAGAATCTCAATTGAAGAAGGCTAAGGCTAACCAAAAGACTGCCGAAGAATTGAAGGCTGAAAGAGCCGCTCGTAAGGCCGTATGTTAAACTATCTTAAATCTTTCAATTATGTGTTTCAATGGGATGATAGTAATTCGTTCATTAGGATCATTAGGGTTCTTTAATGTGAGTACACGAAGACTCACGTGATCCTAATTTTTTTTGGAGGAATTGTTCAACATTATTTTTTTTTTCAATCGAAAGGAAGAATGTTTTTTAGATGATTATTTTATGATGAAGCTCATTTGTATCCCATATACAATCTCGACTAGCTATGGCAATGATGTCGACAATATCACCATCTTTCGCCTGATAATATCATTTAACAATCATTTCCCTTCCAATTCTCGATTTTAATCAGTAAAAATGTTGACAGCTCAACCAGATAATCGAATTATAGTACATTCGTTTCTGAATACATGTAATCGTATTTCTTTCTAAGAATTAATTACTAACAATTAGTTAAATTTTGATTCATTTATTAATGATTCTAAAATTTGTTGAAATTTTATAATTAGGCTAACAAGGAAAAGAGAGCTGTTATCTTGCAAAGAAACGCTGCTTACCAAAAGGAATACGAAACTGCTGAAAGAGCTGTTGTCCAAGCTAAGCGTGATGCTAAGGCTGCTGGTTCTTTCTACGTCGAAGCTCAACAAAAGTTAGTTTTCGTTGTCAGAATTAAGGGTATCAACAAGATCCCACCTAAGCCAAGAAAGGTTTTCCAATTGTTGAGATTGAACCAAATCAACTCTGGTACTTTCGTTAAGGTCACCAAGGCTACTTCTGAATTATTGAAGTTGGTTGAACCATACGTTGCTTACGGTTACCCATCTTACTCTACTGTTAGACAATTAGTCTACAAGAGAGGTCACGGTAAGATCAACAAGCAAAGAATTGCTTTGTCCGACAACTCTATTGTTGAAGCCAACTTGGGTAAGTACGGTATCATGTCTGTCGACGATTTGATCCACGAAATCATGACTGTTGGTCCACACTTCAAGCAAGCTAACAACTTCTTGTGGCCATTCAAGTTATCTAACCCATCTGGTGGTTGGGGTGTCCCAAGAAAGTTCAAGCACTTTATCCAAGGTGGTTCTTTCGGTAACCGTGAAGAATTCATCAACAAGTTGGTTAAATCTATGAACTAAGAAGTATAAGTATTGAAAATCCGAGCATTAATTAAAATCTAAATTTTTTTTTGTTTTTTTAATTTTACCACTTTTAATAAATATACTAATTTTTTTGATTCACACTACTAAGAACAATTTATATTGTTTTTTTTATTAGAAATTTCATTCAATTCTATTCTTGAGTATGATGGAGTGTCTTTATATTTTATATAGAGCTTAGAATATATAGATTGACATCAAACTCGGGTTGTAGGTAGAAGTGATGTAATTTCATAAATGTTAGCATCCATCCGTTCTTCTTGTAAGAGAGGGCGGTTTGGAAACCCGTTGGAACAGGAATTCCTTCATTAGATAATAATTCACATGTACTATACACAAATATATTAAATAAACACCAATTCGAATATAAAATTAAATATAAACCGATTAAGTTTTTTATGTAGCTTGACTTGACTTGACTTTATTATAGCAGGTAAACTGGAAACCACAAGAATTTCAGAACAATTGAATTAATTGACTCCTGTTACAAGTGAGACTTGTAAGATAATAAATATTCACATGTTGATTGAGTTGTGAAAGGGAAACTAACTAGTATACCCTCCCATTCATGCAGGAGGAGGTTATCTATTATGAACAAACACATGATGCGTCAATTCACGCCGATTGATGAATATTTGTTTTTTGAATACATATATTATCATGTCAGTAAAAGTAATATCGAAATGGATGCACACGTCAGGAATCGAACCCGGCCAGATAAGCCCACCCACGACTGCGGGAAGAAATCTCTTGCGCTTCTCTCTTCCCTTTTCCCCCTCCGCCCCTCCGCTGGTCGAGAGAGAAACATGCATGCCATACAAAATTCGATATATCGGGGATTAGTAACAAACAGCAGCACGAACAATGGAATCAAACTGAAAAGCGAAAAGAAAAAGAAAAAGACAAATTTTTTACAAAAATACCAAATTTCACATGCACACTACTTCTGCCCATCATTCTCCCATAATTTCCCACAAAACACAAAAACAAAAAAAAATCAATCAATCGACCACAAAAACATCAAATAAAAAAAAAAAAAAAGAAAACGAGATACATACAAAACGGACTGCCGCTCTACATCATTTCTCTGTTGAAATGCGTAATACCAGATGTTTTTCGAAATTTAGAATTGTCAGTAACAGCAGAGTGCAGTACGATACAATACCATCATTTTATTTATGCTTCGAAACGGTTTACTTGCCTGCACCGGTTTCTCTGCTACATTTCATATTTTGTCTAAAATATTCTAATGCTCTCTCTCTCTCTCTCTCCTTCTGTTTCTGTTTCTGTTTCTGTTTCTGTTGCTGTTTGTTCGAATTCTAAAAAATAAAGTAAAATTAAATCCATTTCGAAGATGTAAGTAACAGCCAGAATATCCTTCATCGTCACCATCTATCTGCATCTTTCTCAAAGGTTTGATTGCTTGATTGATTGATAGAGAGCTTGATTGTCCTGTCTTGTATTGTATTCTTGCCAATTTAGTACTCTTTACATGATAGAGAATCAATTAGTCTATTGTTGTTTTCGATATCGATTCTGTCTATTACGTACTTGTTTCTTATATCTGTATTGTATTGTATTGTATTGTATTGTATTGTATTGTATTGTATTGTATTGTATTGTATTGTATTGTATTGTATTGTATTCTTTGCTCTGGAAAACTGGTTTTTATTCCTATACTCTAATATCCCTTCACTTAAATTACTCTCTCTCTCTGTCCCCCCACTGACTTTTTTATTATTCAATCCATCTATATTTTATTGTAATGCTTTAGATGCTTCAATCCATCTGTTGATTTTCTGCATAGACATTTCTAACACATAGATTCGATTTTAAATATACTCATCTTTTGGTCGTTATCTTTTTGCATTTGTTATAAAAAGGAGTTGGTTTCTTATACATCAACTGTTTATCTCCTAATATTCAACCTTGGGTCAATTGCTTTGGTTAAATATAGTCTATCTTATCTCTCTCTCTGTTTGCGTGTGTGTGTGTCTGCTCGTGCGTACGTCTGTGGTTTGGGTTTGGGTTTGGGTCTAGAATACGACATTGTCCATACTTTTCAGGGTTCTTTATCAATTTTTTAATGGGTAATTGTACAATCATTATCTAATAACACCATATCCAACAACAACAACAACAATCTGTGAAAAAAATGAAGAAAGATCAAAGTGAGATCATTTCTCTGAATATTCATGGTTCAAATATTGATCAACATTCAAAATTGAATTCCTTTAATGAAAGAGTTCAAGAGCTAACTGTGAATGAAAATGACCACTCAATCTCTGATAAAAAGGAAATCCAACAAGGTGGTGGGAACGGTGATGAAGTTCATCTTAGAAAATCATTCTCTTTATGGTCAATTTTAGGTGTAGGTTTCGGTTTAACCAATTCTTGGTTCGGTATTTCAGCCTCTTTAGTAACAGGTATCTCTTCCGGTGGTCCAATGATGGTTGTATATGGTATCATCATCATCGCTCTGATTTCAGTTTGTGTAGGTGTATCATTAGGTGAATTATCTTCTGCTTATCCTCACGCCGGTGGTCAATTCTGGTGGTCTTTAAAATTAGCTCCCCAAAAACATAAAAGGTTTGCCGCTTACTTATGTGGTTCTTTTGCTTACGCAGGTTCAGTCTTCACAAGTGCTTCAACCACTTTATCTGTTGCTACTGAATTAGTAGGTATGTACTCCTTAACTCATCCTGAATTTATCCCTCAAAGATGGCATGTTTTCGTATGTTTTGAATTACTACATCTATTCTTGATGTTATTCAATTGTTATGGCAAATCTCTACCGCTGATTTCTACTACCTCATTATATATATCGTTGGCATCTTTTTTGACCATTACTGTAACTGTCTTAGGTTGCTCTCATGGTAATTTCAATGATCCAAAATTTGTGTTTGCTACTTTTTATAATCAAACTGGTTGGAAAAATAGTGTCATTGCTTTCATCACTGGTTTAATTAATCCTGCATGGTCCTTCTCTTGTTTAGATTGTGCTACACATATGGCCTTTGAAGTAGAAAAACCAGAACGTGTAATTCCAATAGCTATTATGGGAACTATAGCAATTGGGTTTGTCACTTCCTTCTGTTACGTAATTGCAATGTTCTTCTCAATTCGTGATTTAGATGCCTTATTTGCATCTCATACAGGTGCTCCTATCCTAGATATTTACAATCAAGCACTGGGTAATAAGGGAGGTGCCATCGTTTTAGGTTGTTTAATTTTGTTCACTTCATTTGGTTGTGTCATTGCTTGTCACACTTGGCAAGCAAGATTGTGTTGGTCATTCTCAAGAGATAAAGGTTTACCATATTCTCATTTATGGGCTCAAGTTAATCCTCAGCTTGGCGTACCACTGAATGCCCATTTGATGTCATGCGCTTGGATTTCCTTAATAGGTATCTTATACATTGCGTCAACTACTGCATTCAACTCTTTGATTACTGGATGTATTGCCTTCTTATTGCTTTCATACATCATTCCTGTAATATGTTTATTAAAGAAAAAACGTCAAATTAAACATGGTCCATTCTGGCTTGGTAAATTCGGTTTGTTTTCTAACATCGTTTTACTAGGTTGGACTTTATTTGCCATTGTCTTCTTCTCGTTCCCACCACAACTACCAGTTACAAAGGATAATATGAATTATGTATCTGTCGTGATTGTTGGTTACACATTATATGTATTAATATATTGGAAGTTTAAGGGTAGCAAAGAATTCCATGCTACTGAAGAAGAGTCAGAAGAAGAAGAAGGTGATCTAGTAGAAGACGGCGATATGATGATTGCTTCTTATAACGGTGATTTGGAAGAATCACTGAATGAAGACTTTGATAATGCTGGTACTTTGAATCCAAAAAATTATTCCAGACGTTCGAAAGTTATTAGTTTGAACGATAGTGAATAAAAAGGAAAAGAATTAAATCAATTATCCATTTTCATCTTTTTTCCTTTTTGGTCAATTCATAATTCATATTTCATATATTCGATATTATTACTTTTAAACAAACTTAAGACACATATGATCTGGCATCATGTAACTTCACAATTAACATAACTCATTTGGAAACGTGGATTATAACAAATATAATAATTATAATCATAACCACAATCATAACCATAATCATAATTAAAAGACATCTTTCGCATCTATAAAAGAAAGAGTATATAATTACTTTTCCTATAAATATATAGTATACTTGTAAAATAATCAAACCTATAACAACTTATTTATAATCAATTCAACCAAGGTATTCATAATAACTATTTTAATCTTTAAATTTCGTCAATGTACCATAATCTACAACTTTTAACCCCATCCAAGTTTATCCAGCTCTATTGTATTGTATTGTATTGTATTGTATTGTATTGTATTGTATTGTATTGTATTATTGACACCTTCATTTCCTTTTTGATCTCATCTCATCTCATCTCATCGCAATATTCGTTCGCAGCGCTAGTAAAAATTTTATACAGTAAATATTCTAAAAAATTTTCCAGTCATCTCATCACCTTTAATATATAAGATGAAGATGTAATTGATGAGAAATCTGAGATGTATTATAATAGTTTTGCTACTAGAAGGTAACAAGCCAATCATTATACATTAGCACAAGATGTCTAAAGACGAAATCAAAGATAAGAAGAGAAAGTCAGAGGAATATGAAGTAGTTGACAAGAAGAAACATAAGAAAGACAAGAAAGACAAGAAGGAAAAGAAAGACAAAAAGGAAAAGAAGCTTAAGAAAGATAAGAAAGATAAGAAGGATAAGAAAGAAACCAAATCTGAATCCGAATCTAATGAAGATAATGAATCAGTTGCCTCCGTTTCAACTTCATCTACAGTTGACGGTTATACTGAAAATGCTGATCTTTTAAAGGTCCCTCAATCTGAAATTGATGAATTCTTTACCACCAATGAAGTTGCTGTTGAAGATGAATCTAAATTAAACTTACGCCCATTGTTATCCTTTAGTCATATTTCTTTAGACTCTAGAATTCAAGCTGAAATCTCTAAATTTCCTAAACCAACTCCAATTCAAGCTGTTTCTTGGCCATATTTATTAGCTGGCAAAGATGTTATTGGTGTTGCTGAGACAGGTTCCGGTAAGACCTTCGCTTTTGGTGTCCCAGCAATCAACAACATTTTAACGAAATCAGGTTCTAAGCCAGGTAAAAATGGTATCCAAGTCTTGATTATTTCCCCAACTAGAGAATTGGCTTCTCAAATCTATGACAACTTAGTTATTTTAACCGATAAGGTTGGCTTAGAATGCTGTTGCGTATATGGTGGTGTTCCAAAGGATGAACAACGTACCCAATTGAAAAGATCTCAAGTCGTTGTTGCTACCCCAGGTAGATTATTAGATTTGATTCAAGAAGGTGCTGCAAATTTATCTAATGTTAACTATTTAGTTTTAGATGAAGCTGATAGAATGTTGGAAAAAGGTTTTGAAGAAGATATTAAAAATATCATTAGAGAAACCAAATCTACTGGAAGACAAACTTTAATGTTCACCGCCACTTGGCCTAAGGAAGTTCGTGAATTAGCATCCACATTCATGAACAGCCCAATTAAGGTTTCCATTGGTAACACAGATGAATTGTCTGCCAATAAGAGAATTACTCAAATTGTGGAAGTTATCGATCCATTCAAAAAGGAAAGAAAACTATTAGAATTGTTGAAGAAATATCAATCCGGTTCCAAAAAAGACGATAAAGTTTTAATCTTCGCTTTATATAAGAAAGAAGCAGCTCGTGTTGAAAGAAATTTGAACTACAATGGTTACAAAGTTTCAGCTATTCATGGTGATTTGTCCCAACAGCAAAGAACCAATGCTTTAGATGAATTTAAAACAGGAAGATCTAGTATTTTGCTAGCTACCGATGTTGCTGCCAGAGGTTTAGATATTCCAAATGTCAAAACTGTAATCAATCTAACTTTCCCATTGACTGTTGAAGATTACGTTCATAGAATTGGTAGAACTGGTAGAGCTGGTAAGACTGGTACCGCTCACACATTATTTACAGAACAAGAAAAACATTTAGCCGGTAGTTTGGTAAATGTTCTGAATGGTGCAGGCCAACCAGTTCCAGAAGAATTGAAGAAATTTGGTACCCACACTAAAAAGAAGGAACACAGTGCTTATGGTGCTTTCTACAAAGATGTTGATATGACCAAAAAGGCAAAGAAGATTACTTTTGATTGAATTTGACGAATTGAAACATTGAAAAACCTTAAGATTATTTTTTCTTTCACTATTAATTTATAATCTAATAGTGTGCTTCGAAAAGATATCATAGATGTACATTATTGGGTAAACTTTAAAATATGTTTTGTTATGTAATATAGTTGATATATTTCTATAGAGAATTGGACTTTTACTACATCGTTAGTATTACAATTTATTCAATGTAGTTTTACAATGGGTATCATAAATAAATAAAACAGTTAAAGAACAATAGAAATATATATGAATCATCATAACTGTTATATTATCTAAATGGTAGATATATATTACTGTTAATAGATCTATTCTTCTGATATATTAAATATATGTCATGATATTAGCACTAAAGTCACGTGATTATTTTAAACGGTTCTCGAACTTGGATTTAAGTTTCATAATTAGATATTAGGAACATATATAAGAGTAGGCAAACCCCATGTCAATGGCAGATAAATCAAGATTTAGGTATATCTATAGGCTAAAAGTAATATTTGTCTTCTAGTAGATCTAGTATATGTTAAGGGTGTTCTTTCTGATTTAAATAAAGTAGCTTCAAAATGTTGTTTGAAATGAAAGATGCTGTAAGCAGGTTACGGAAAACACTAACACAGACTGGAATCTCTTCTGCTGACTCCAATCAGTCTTCCTCCTCTTTAAATAGTAGTTCCTCAACTAATAAAGATAGTAAGAACAATAGTAAATATGAATTTGATTTTGATGATGATTCTTTGCCAAAAGTGATATTAAATGGTTACCTTCCCTCTACGAAGAATAGATTGCTAACGCCAGATATGTGTGATGATATAAGGATGCTTATGCCAACTAGAATACAACTTTATACCGATTGGAAATTGATGTATAGTTTAGAGCAACATGGCGCTTCTCTTCACTCGTTATATGATAGCATTGCTCCTGATAGTGATACTCCAATGAGAGTTGGCTACGTATTGGTGATAAAAGATAGATTGAGTGGTATATTTGGTGCTTATAGCAACGAACCTTTCCATCCTACAGATGCAAGAAGGTATTATGGTAATGGTGAATGTTTCTTATGGCAAATGGAAAAAGTACCCAATGTCAGTATAGACAGAGACACCAATATCGAAAATAATACCAAACAGGACATTAGCGATTATAGATGGAGGTTTAAAGGATACCCATATACTGGAATAAACGAATATGCTATTTATTGTACTTCTAAATTCCTATCTATGGGAGCTGGGGATGGCCATTATGGTATTTGGTGTGATGACAGTCTAATACATGGAGTATCCGGTCCTTGTCTAACATTTGGAAATGATACTTTAAGTAAAGAGGGGGACAAATTTCACATTATAGGTTTAGAAATTTGGAGAGTAGGATAAATATTGATGTTATTAGTATTACAATTTTAATATCTAAGGAATCTTGTATTATTGGAGTTATAATAATTGAAATACCTGGGCAATATTTTCAACTATTTCTTTATAAAGCGAAGAAAGTTCAAAACATGCATGTTATAAAATTATACAATCATTGGAATTCCTGTTTCTATTTGAAACATTTGAAATATTTTATCCAAAACATTTAACATATTTATTTATTTATTTATTCATATATATATATTGATATATTATTTTAACGTTAGTCATTAATGAAGAGTCATTATTTTTAAAACAAAATTTTTTTAAAAAACATTCTATGTTAAGCATCAATTCATGTAATAAATTGTTCAAATAAATTAAACAGGCTTGCCTTTATCATGGAAAACAGAATATAGACTTAGTTATAAATAGGGAAGAAGCAAACGACTAATACTACCAAAGATAAAGTCGGTAGTATACAAAGAAAAGAAGTACCCATCTAGACTGAAAATAAAGATAGTGAATGAACTTCTAGAAATATAAACAGAGACTGATTTCCTGATCATTCAATCTGTTTTTTCAACCTTATTCTTTGCATATTCTTCTTGAATTGCTATTTTCTCTTCTTCTGTCTTGAAGTAATTATAATTGATGAATCTATAGCCTTGAACTAATTGGGCAAATTCATTGACGAAATGACAACCAAATAACAAATAATTCTTAGGTGTTACTGCTGTAGCATATCTCATAAAGACAGCAGAATAAATAACCAATGAACCAGTCATTGGACCAGAAATTAAAGTCGGATCTTTCTTTAAATCATACATGGCTGCAATAGGGATACCAAAGTTTGACACAGGACCCCAAAAATGAGTAGTAAAAACATATTTAAGAGTCTCTTTGTTAATGTACTTCTGAATAAACGATTGAGTAGCTGCCCGTTGAACTGGTTGTGACATCTTTAACAGTTTTTGAAATTATTTATATGAATTATCTTGATTCGATGCAGTCTATTATTCGCTATATATATTATACTAATTAATATACACAAGCACTCTAAACTATCCCGTAACTTCAAATATAGACTGTAAAATCACTATATTAACAAAAAAAGAATAACATCAACTTCCGAAATATCATTAAAACCAAAACTATTAACCTACAAAAGTAATTCCACAGTCATCAATCAAGTTTATATAATCTTCCTTTCTTTCCTTGTTCGATCACCAAATTTCATTTCGATATCTACTGATTTTTTTTCATCCCGATCGATGTTGATGAGATGATGATTCTTGTACTGATTCATCAAATACTTAAAGATGGAATTGAAAGAGTAAATAAATGAGAAGTCAGGATGGTTATATTCAACTCTGGAGACTCTAATGTATTATGCAATTGGTAACATGGTTTATTATATAATTGTATATTCTCTTTAGGTATCATTCCGATCAATGACTTTACTGTGAGGATAATTTTGTCAAGACTGTTGAAACAGCAGCTCCTAAAAATGAACCGACAATGGCACCTCTATAGAATGAATTTGCATTCTTTGTTCTGATTGGGGTCCCTATCTTTATATCTTTGTTATTATTAGTTTCTAATATTTTTTTTTTGGAATGATTAGCATGTGTAGTTACTTTTCTTTTAGGATTCTTTTTAGATACTTTGCTGCTTGTTCTGCTTTTAGATGATCTTGATCTTAATTTAGGCTCTGACATGATAGAGACTGAACTCTCTATATTTTTACTAGAAGATCTATCCGTACTTGAGTCAAATATAGCAGTTTTTGGAGCATCTGCCTCATTAGGTTGGATTTCTGACACTGACGACATATTTATTCACTTCTTATTTATGTTAGACTTATTGGAGGTTATATACTAGCTATACTTGACTATTTCCCCACATGAATTGTTGCAAGACTCAAAATATCTATCTTATATTTATAGTTAGACTATTATTTTCGGTTGCCTTTCAGGTTTCAGTTAACGTTTAACAATTGTTTCATAGATGTGTCAGTTTTAAAAGGAACTGCCCAAACTTGTGTACGATAGCAATAAAGAAGTAAGACCCCTTAAATTACATGCAGCATATATTAAGTTTCTTGGTTTTAAATAAAATTATAAATGGTTAGATAAGACTAGATCTTATCCAACAGAATTTGGTAGAATATATATTCAAATGTGTGAAAGCGACAGAAAGTGCAACGAATAATCCATTATCCATAGTTAAGTATCGACGAAGTAACATAATAAAGACAAATAAAGATAATAATGGTCAATTAAATAATATCAAAAAAGAAATATGAGATGTGGATACCCATTAGAAAGTTAATTAGAGGAAATGAAACATTCCAGAAATCATTATATATAAGATTTCGATGCAAATACCAGAAAATAATAACTGGAAAAAAAGGGTTTTAATTACCACTGCCTTCGATACTATTTGCAATACCGACTAGTATCCCTAAAGTGCTTAGTGACCCTATGGTAAACCCAACTAACCCACTAATTAGGACTTCTCTCTTGACGTTTAGAATTGTATTATTTGGTTTTGCCCTCTTTTTAATGGCATATCCTATACTTCTATCACCTGAACCTGTATATTCACATTCATTTGAGATACTACGCTTGTTACCATTGTAATTCAAAGAGGACGATGAAGAAGAACAATCGACACTCAAGATTGGAGACTCATTATTCATCAGAGAAGCTATATATTCGTATGAATCTTCAGAGTCACTAACATAGAAATTCGAATTTTTCGAATCCTTTGGCGACACTATATTTTCACTCGAATAACTTACTAAAGTAAACTCTTCTCTACTTTTACCATTACCACTATCATTATCATTGTAATTATCATTAGATTTATCGTTATCATATTCATTATTATTAAAATTATTATTACTATTCTCAGTTTCACCACTATCAATCTTTTTTTCAAAACAAGACACTTCATCAATAACTACTTCAGAATATTTTTCATCAGTATCAATGATATTTACATCATCCTCGGTGATTAAATCAATATAATTATAGTCTTCAATTTGAAAAGTCTCATTAGTAGAAGCCACTGAAGATGACTCTTTACAGGACTCATCTAATGATTCTTCTGATATAGGGGGAGACTTTGCAACGACAGATGTGCCACCGAATGAAACATCTCTCACAATACATTCAAATGTCTTATTTTCCACATCATGATATTGAATATTTACTTGAAACTTCAATCTAGCATCTTCATTTTGATGATGATGATGATGATGACGATGATGGTGTTGAGAAGAAGAAGGCCTGTTAGAATCATCGATTTGTATCAAACCAAATCTTTCGCCATTCTTCAAGTCAATAATTTTTGCATTTGTATTGTAGATTGAATTTAAATCAACGATACCATAAGTGCTATCTAAATCCTTGATATAAATTCTAAATTGATCGATAATATGGATATCGTCCCTTATTGGCTCCAGTAATTTAATACATAATAAAGCATGTTTTTTACTTAAAGATTTATTTTTAAAATACAAATTATCCTTTGAAGCTCTTCTCAAAGTATCTTTATCACTAGCACGACCTATTGGCCAGCAAACACCTCCAGACGATTTTGCATCATCGAATGAAAAAACAACACTCCTAATTTGCTCCATCATATTGGTATTGAAATTAATATTATCACGATTAAAAAATAAAAATATACTTATTATCAGACCCACAAGAAGACTTGTCTCTAATTGCCAACTCAACTCTTTCAACAGAATGATAATATAAAAAGATTTAGCTAATTTAATAGTCAACTCAACCTTTAAGATATTCTTGCTACTTCTAGTATGCAACTTATATAATCAAAAAAGTAAATAGACTCAAGACTAGAAAATTATATTTAATATCAATATTAAACAATCCAAATTAACAAGACCTTGTCTCCATATGAAATTTATAATCAATATTTATATGAACACCATTATTAATTGATGATGATGTTATTACCATTCCGATATTGTCATGGGATGGGATGCCCTTAGGTACCCTTTAGGGATTGAATACAGGGTTGTCATGATGATGATAATGATAATGACTGTGTCACATGATCATGAATGATAAAGGTTTTAATAAGTTACAGGAACAGTATTGTAATTGCCATCATGACACTTTAATGATTGAGTAGTAAGAAACAATGATTAGTCCAGGAGTATTTGTTGGAATTTAGATGCCCATCTTCGTATATTTTTATCTAGTTAACTGTTCATTCAATAGTGCTCAGTAAGGGACATTCTCAGAATCACAAAGCCTTTGTTAACTCAATCATCTCAACTGTTGCAATGATATATATATATATATATAGATAGATAGATTGATTGATATACATCCATCTAACACTTGTAATAGTTTCTTGATCAAGATATTAAAGTGATAAAAGAGACATACATCTGCATGTACTTCAAGGTAAATTTGTGGGTTAAAATTCTATTTAGAACTGTATGTATAATCTTGTTAAAGTGGTACGTAGATAAAATTGTCATGTCAACAAGTTAAAGATAAGATACTTATAAAAACAAACAAATGAACAAACAAATCAAATCGATAAGGGTGAAATGTGAGGTTTTACAATATATATGAAATTTCAATGCTTGATACTTTGTTTTTACCTTTTTGAAAAACAATCATAAAGGATTGTAATGTTTAATTTAAAGATTATAATAGTACATTATTGCAAAAGACAATTGGGTTATAGTTAAGAAAACATAAGATTCGGCCCAATCCTTCCTCCGTTCTAAGTCTAAACCAAAATTGCATCAAAGTTATGAGACGCCAGTATACCATCGCAATGGATTGAAAAATAGGATAGTAAAACTGTTCTAAGTTTGTAAGAACAATTAGATTTCATTAATAATCATGTCTCAAGTAATAAATACAACGACAAATCATTGTAAATCTCCTTGATTAATCTCGTGTAGCGCCGTACTCAAAGGAATCTCTTTATAATCACTGAGTTCAAAATCATACTATCACCATTTAATAGACTGCCAGTCTTAATAAATATAAAACAATGAATAATTATGAAGATGAATCACTTTTGTAATTTAGCCAAACTGTTCAATAAACTTTGAACATTATTGGCAACTGGAGTTTCTTCTTGTTGTTGTGGAGGTGGTGGTGCTTGGGAAGCTTGATTTAGCGGTTGATTGTTAGTATGAGGAGAACGTTGAGGAGGGTAGCCTGCTTGACTAGCACCCTGGTCATTAGATGGATAGCTTTGTGATTGAGATGGTGGTGCTGATTGTTGGTTATTTTGCATTGACTGAATCAAGCCAACTAACTGCTGGTTTTGTTGATTTTGTTGTTGACCATGTGGTTGCTGTTGCTGTTGTTGAGCCATGGACAATAGATTAGAAACGACATTTGATGGTAAGTTCTGGATAGCAGATAACAATTGATTTTGATCCATTTGGCCATAATTACTACCCAATACAGAAGATATTTGAGAATTTTGTGCTTGCATAGGAGGTTGTTGTTGTTGCACAGAAACCGGAGATCCTTGATAACGGCCATAACTTTGTTGTTGCATTGGTGGTTGTTGCATTGGTGGTTGTTGTGGAGGTGGTACACCGTACCCTTGAGTTTGAGGTGGCACACCATATTGTTGATGAGGAGGTGGAGGTGGTTGACCATATGCCATTTGAGAAGATCCATAACCTTGATTTTGTGGTGGCATACCATATGATTGTTGAGGATATGGTTGTTGTTGTGGCTGTGGTTGTGGCTGTGGTTGTGGTTGTGGTTGTTGTTGCATTGGGACATGCATAGGAGCAGGATGACCAAACTGAGAACCACCTGCCATCTGGCCGCCATGTCTCATATTTTTCAAATTGTTGAAGATTGCAACTGCATCGTCACTAGATATACTAATATATTCATCAAACTTAGTTTCACCTTGTGGACCTTTGTAAAAAGTTTGCACATCGACATTTCTTGTTTTATTAACTAAGACAACACCCCAAACACCTTCATATGCAACATCGTTGATCATTCTCCTTAATTCCATACGTGGCTTCAAGAAGATCATATCCGTTTCTAAACCAGTACCGTGTTTGAATTGATTAAAGACATCGTTGGCATAAGTTCTGTCTGCAGTTCTTTTGACATAAATAACACAAGCTGGTACACGTCTTTTCGATTTTTTGAAGCCATATTCATTATAAACATCCATGTCGTCGTCATCAGTTTGGAATGGACGTTTTGAAGTAGATATGAAAGTTGAACTACTGTTGGTACCGTGGTCACCATGATCAAATTGAGGTCTACTATTTGAACTTGAAACTTCCAAGATTAATTTTTTACCAAAGTTGATTTCATTTGATTCAGAGTCAATGGCAGCCAAGACACTTTGAGAATTATCATATTGAATGAAACCGAATGCGTTTTTAATATTAATTTGTAAGATATGACCGAAAGGAGAGAATATTCTAAATAAATCTTCTTTTGAGACGTTTTTCAGAGGTAAATTACCAATGAATAATCTAGATTTTGGAGGAATATTATGCATTTCAGTAATTTTATTTTCACCACGAAGATATATAGCATATCTTTCGCGTTCTTCTAAGTTCATTGGTTTTGATAAGTCTGGTCTTTGACGAGTATTTTTATTTTCAAGTTCAGCTTTGACTGGTTGTTGCTGTTGCTGTTGGTGATGATTAATGGTTTCATTAGAAGATTGATTAGACGTTGGTTGAGATACTGTCGAAGATGTAGGTAGTAAAGAAATTGCTGGATTTGAGTTTATAAGATTTAAAATTGCGGTTAACTTTTCTTCATGGGATAAGTCTTTAAAAGATTGTAAATTTAGCATATTACTTTCCATGATATATTTTGCTTGCTTATGTAACAAGTTGTAATCTATATTTTCATCTTTTGTTGAAGGTTCTGTAGAAATATCTCTGTTAGTGTTTTCTGATTCTGAGGTTGATGTATCTTTTGAATAACTTGGTGTGCTAGCAGAATACTCTTCTTTTACTTGATTTTGACCTTGGTTTTGATCTTGATCTAGTAATTCAGATTCAGCGTTTGATTCAGACTCGGATTCAGCATCAGATTCCGATCCAGACTGGGAATTTGTGATGGATTCAGACTTTACTTGAGTTTCTTCTTCCTTGACGGTTTCAACTTCTTGAATTGGGTTTTCAGTTTCAAGTTGAATAGATTCTTCAGGTTGTAAGTGGGTGTGTTCTTCCACTTCTGTACTTTCCTGTTCTTGTTGTTGTTCTTGTTGTTGTTCTTGTTGTTGTTCTTGCTGTTGTTCTTGCTGTTGTTCTTGCTGTTGTTCTTGTTGCTCTTGAGCTAGTTGTTGTTCTTGCTCTTCTTTTACAATTTCTTGTTCACTGTTTTCTTCTTCTTTTCCTACGATATTTTCAATTGCATTTACGTGTTCATTTTGTTCATCAACACTATCTTTTGGAATGTCTTCATTTGTATTAACTACTGGGGATTCAGTCCCATAAATATCTTCCACTTCGCTAGAAGACATTTTATTTCTATTATGGTATATATGATTATTAATATTAGCTCAATAAAACAGAATTAAGAAATTCAACAAGTTGTAAAGAAATGAAATAAAGAAGTAAATGGTATCCTTAATGTTCTTATCTATTTAACAATAAAAAAAAAAATCAAATTTTTTTATTCGTTTAAGATAAAAACAACAAATTAAAACAAAATAAAATAACAAAGAAAAAGATGTAATAAAAATATAATAGTACTATCTTTTTAAAGAAGTTATCTATAATGGCACACAACTTATATCAGTCTTAGTTATAGTACGTAAGTATACCTTACTTGAATAAGCTATCAATGGGTAGCTTACTTATAAATGATGTAAAGACAATTTTGGTTTGCTTAAACTTATCTTGTTTATATACAAATTTAGTTAGTTCATTTTTATCTGTTTTTGTGGCTGTTTTAAAATAACGTTCTGTTTTTTTCTTTTTTCTTCTTCATTTTTGTGGAAGAACCACGACCACAAAAAACGCAAAAAAAAAAGCATGCATTTCGTTGAAAATGATACGAAGTTTCAAAAGGGATTAGAAGCACTTTTCTTTTTATTTGTTAGAGTATAGTGTATTGATCATTAGCCACGGTGTGATCATGTGATTGTATAAATACGTCATATACTATATTATACTATATTATACTATATTATACTATATATGACTACTACAGGTTCAATCCCAAACTTGATGCCTTAATATATTACAGTTACATCCAGATACCAGCAAGTGTATATCTATCTACAATTTATGGTAATATACTCTAGTGGTTATACGTTTATTATTAGTACATTATATATATATGAAATGAATATTTAAAAATTTTAATGATTGATTTAATGAATGGTAGGATATATGCATTCATGAGTGTGTGACTAGAACCAATGTTGAAGTAGATTGACATTATTCTGTACAATTATCAAATGTCTATTGTTTTGTTATATATACTTCTTTGTTTTCAATTTCAAATTGGGTAGCATTAGATAATAATACACAAATGCATTCATTTAACAGTATCTCTATTATCTGACTGTTATTTTGCTATAACTTATTTGATTGACTTTTTAGCCTTCTCTTGATCTGGAATAAATTGTCTTTTCAATTGTTCTTGTTCAATGGATACTGGTGAATCAGAATCTAATGTATGTGCGGGACATGGCAGAGCTGTACTTAATGCTACAGATGAAAATGCAACTAAAAACGTAGTTACAAATAATTTATTGGTTACTTGATTTCTTGTTGCTGCTCTCATTGATAACAATATAAATATAAATGAAATGTAGATTTTTTTTTTTAATGGACACAGGAAGTGACGAGTTGTTTTTGGTAATATTTTAGTGTATGCACCGACTTTTATTGAATATATGGAAAATAAATAAAAAAAGGCTTTTATAACTTTTAATTTATAATAAATATGTATGAATGTGGGATATCAACGGATGAGAATAAGAATACACCTACAAGCAATTTTTTCTGTTTTAAATATAGAAAGGTGTATCAGCTCAATATAAATAATTGTCCTATGATGGTAGCCTCTATAATCAATACACTAGATGATCAATAGTTGCAAATTAAGTTATACACCTAAAATATATATAATATGCTCAAAAACAAAATTGAGCAGTTCCTAAATGGTTGTATGTTGCTTTCGAAGTCAAAAGTAACTTTAAATTTTTGATATTTGTACTTTATTGGCAATACAATTGGGAGACAAAAAAAGATACCGATAGTTTTCTCGTTTCGTAATTTAGAAAATCAAATTTTATGGAGAAGGAATGTTAGAATAATTTGAGTATCACGTGACTATTGTTGGGAAAGAGTTTTATGGACCCATAACTAATGATAGGATAAGTAGAATAGGGCTATAAAAGTAAAAGAGATATATCGTTATCGGAAGATCATGTGATCAGGTTAATAATTGACTAGTTATTTACTACCATAACTGCAACCATATAATAATTTTAATCAATGCTAAATGTATCTATTATTATCAATCTAAATATGAGTATGGTATCATACACAACTATACAATTGTATCAAGGTGTTGAATTCTTCTGTTTTAATTCTGTTATTTCATTCATCTTTTGTATTAGCTTACGTTCCATTTCTTTTAATTCTGAATATAAGGTATCGAATATGTGACGTGGTACAGGAGAATTATTGTTGTTGTTATTGTTCATATTAGATATACTTCTTAACAATTCTCTATTTTTTGACATCATAGTTTGTGTCGCTACATTTGATATATCGACATCTCTTTCCGGTTTTGTTTGTTCTTCTTGATCTTGAAACTCTTTTAATTTAGCCAATTTAGTTTCTAAGACCTCGATTTTTTCTTTAGCTTTCATCAACTCTAATTTTTTAGAATTGTCTACTACCTTTTCCTCTTTTAGTATAGTTGGTTCTACTGATTCTTCTAATTTTCTTTTTTTAGTAGATGTAAATTCAGTAGATTCTAAAGATTCGTATTCTTTCTTAATGCTTTCAATTTCTTCCTTATAGCTTTGAATTAATGCTTCTGATTGTTTGGTATCTTCCTCTATGGATTTTAATTTAGATTCAACCTCTGGGAATTTATTATTTATGGTATTTTGTAACATTCCAAACATCTCTTCAGCTTGAGTACGTAACATAGAGGCTTCATGAGATAACAATTTTTTTTCTTTTCTTTCTGTCACATTTGTTAGCCTTGAAGAATTCAGTTCCCCTTCTAATTGTTTAATATTCTCTAAGTTTTTATTATTTTCATCTTTTAAATTCTTATACTCTTCGTTTGCTTTGGAATTCTTTGCGTTTGCTTCAGACAACTGATTATTTAAAAATGCACGTTCAGTCTCAAAAGATCTCCATTCTGATATAATTTCATTTGGTGATTTTTGTAGCTGTTGTTCAAAAATTTCCCATTGAGTTAATACTTTTCTTAGTTTATTTGATTCTAATTGTTTCTCTTTAATTTCATTTTTCAATTTTTTAATATCTTTCACTTGAACTTGTAATCTATCACATTCAAGTCTCCAAAAGTTATTGCTTTCTTTTAAATAATTTAAATCGTCGATTGTTTTCATATGTTTTAACTTAGTCTCTATCAATTCTTTATTTTCTTTTAAATATAATTCATTTTGTCTTTGTAATTCAGAAATATTGTCTTGATTAGTTTCAGTCTTTTGTTCAACTTCCTCTGCATTGAATTCCCTTTCAGATTTTAAATTGTGGATTTCATTTTCTTTGCAATTAATTTCATGTTTATATTCCTTTATCTTATTCTTGTATATCTTTAATTTATTTTGGAATTCTGTATTTTCATCTTTCAAATCATCTATCTGTTCTTGCAAATCTGATTCTAAATCATCCAATTCATTTTCTCTTGCTTCAACTGTCTTCTCGAGTTCAGCAATGAATGTATTTTTCTCTTCAATTTCATCTTGATGTTCTTCTCTTAATTTTACAATATTATTTTCAAGCTTTTTATTAGTATCATATAAGTACTTTACAGTGCTGTTATTGCTTTCTAGTTCTTTATTAACTGTCAAATATTTTTCTTGCACTAGATTTATTTGGTCTTTTAATTGGATCCTTTCAATTTCAAACTCATTAGAAATAACATTTAATTTTGATTCTAATTCTTTAATGAGAAGTTCTTTATCTATATCTAAGTCCAATATACGTTCGAAATTTTTTGAACGATCAATCAATTCACTCATCTTTGTAAACTCAAGTTGATCTATATCTTGCTTTAAAACTGTTCTGTGCACCAAGCAAGGTATACTAATCATGCAAGTAATTTTATAAACGCAGCCTTTCAAAACATTTATAGCATATTTTCAATAGAAGGGAAGAGTGCAATTTCGATAATGTTAAATATGTAGCTGCAAGGTCAGACAACAATTCAAAACAAGTATATAATTGCAATTTCTAGACAGGGATCATGCTCCATCAGGAAATGAAGAATGATAGTTTGTTACATAACCAAGTCAATTTTACAATAGTATATACAAAGATAAGTTTAAAAGAATAGATGTATTAATGATCCTTGCAACCACTCCCATACGAGCACACGAAGGTAAACTCTTAGATCTGCACAAAGACAGACAACAGATGAATCGTTGCACCCAAGATCATTTATATAGTTTATTCTCCAGTCCAAGCAAAGACAACTCTAACATTAAAAAATATCAGAATCGTTGCAACACAAATCAACAAATGTCATGGGTCAAGAACGCCCCGGAGGGGTTCAACCTCGATGTGATACTGTTATATGTTGCGATTGGCTGTGAAATTTGCGTTATATCTTTTAAGATTGAAAGTAAAAAAACATTATAAATTAATCAAAAACTACATTTAAGAATCTATAAATCAACTATTAAAAGTGTTATATCCTTCAAATATCGTTCTGTTTAAATAGTTTCGAAAAGTTTTCGAAATTTCAACAGATGTTCGTATATCATTATATATATATTAGTTACCCGGTTAATGTCTTTGTCTTAGGGCATCCAAATGAAAAATTGTACCTTTTACAAGAAATTTGATATTGTTCGATGGAAAAGAGAGCGACATTCGGTTAGCAAAAGTCTGATGTAAATGAAGTTTTCACTTGATGGACTGATTATTTTGGTGACTTTTGTCCTGTTTCTTGTTGTAACTCAATGTTTTAATTTTAAATTGCAAGAACATGCTGTTGTGGTTCAAAATTAATTTAAATGTCATTAACTATACTAAAACATAGACTAATGGTCCAATACTAACCATTACAATACTATATTAGGATAGGATAGTATTATGAATGTCATTTTAATTTGGATTAAACTCTTATAATTTGTATTCATTGATGTACGTATTAGGAAACTGTTTAGTTTCCCAATTCTTGACAAATATGTGTGTATTTTTTTTTAATCCGATGACTACAATGTCTCTAGAATTCTCATAATCGTATCTCTTAACAACGAATATTGAATCGAGTTTTGTGAATGTTAGTTTGGGGTTATCACATTAATAATAGTGCAATCCCATTCATCTAACAATTGTTTTACTTTTCTCTTTGTAGTAGTCATGGTTACAACCATTTTGTATGGTATTACTTTGCTTTTCATAGTCAAGCCAGTCACTTAGTCCTTCGATATCCAGAAACGTTTTTTTTTCGTACTATTTCTTGTGACGCAGTTTCCTAATTCGGCTATCAATGGCTTAATACCAAGAGATGTAATTATTTACATGGTGTTCATCCACACTGACATCTCAATTCTAATACAATTAATTTTATTATTGTATTATCAATTGGTTGTAGATCTGAGTTGATTTGATTTGATTTGATTTGATTTGAAGCTTAGTTAGCTTATTTGGGGTAATTGATTATCTTGATAATATTGTATTGACTAGGAAGGTTTTAAAATACCTTGTCCTCGACCTCAAGTCATTATGAAATTGATGTATTTTTTAACATGAAACTTGTTATGTCTTTAATATATCGACAAATTGGGTAACTAATAGAAAGCAAAGATTGTGATATAAAATTATAATTGTAAAATCTACACATATAAATTAGCCGACTTATTTCATCTTTATTGTAAATTCAATTCTATCTTTCCTTTTATCTATTATATAAGATATAAAAAACCATCATCAACAAAGACAATTAATAATAACAATACATTATTATTAACAGAAAAACAATCATCAACATACAAATTTATAACTTAATTCAACAACATCAATTACAAATATGAAGTTTTCTACTGTTTTATCCACTGTTGCCTTAGCTGCCACTGCCGTTTCCGCTGCTCCTATCTCAAGAGCTTCTAATGAAACTGTTGAATCTGTTGAATCCGGTTTAAATGTACCAGCTGAAGCTGTCCTTGGTTACTTGGACTTTGGTGAAAAAGATGATGTCGCTATGTTACCTTTCTCAAATGGTACCTCCAATGGTTTATTATTTGTTAACACTACCATTTACGACGCCGCCTTCGCTGACTCAGATGATGAATCTGCCTCTTTAGCTAAGAGAGACGCTGAAGCTTGGCACTGGTTGAGACTAAGATATGGTGAACCAATCTACAAAAGAGAAGACTCTGAAGGTGTTGAAAAGAGAGAAGCCGCTGCTGAACCATGGCACTGGTTGAGATTGAGATACGGTGAACCAATCTACAAGAGAGAGGATTCCGAATCTGTTGAAAAGAGAGAAGCTGCTGCTGAACCATGGCACTGGTTGAGATTAAGATACGGTGAACCAATCTACAAGAGAGAAGACTCCGAATCTGTTGAAAAAAGAGAAGCTAATGCTGATGCTGACGCTTGGCACTGGTTGAGATTGAGATACGGTGAACCAATTTACTAATTTAAAATCCTATCAAAATCTCACTTCCAAAATATTATCTTTTAAATATACCAGATTTTCTTCTCGTTCTTTTTATCTCCCTTTTACATATAGCTATATTTACTTCTATAACTAAAATTTTAAATTTAGACATTACAAATACATTCATTTACTTATACCGTTAAATTATTTATCTATTTTCATGTTTTTAATATTCGCTTTAAATTCTTTCCGTATATCATAGGAATAAAAGTTATCTAAAAACCTAAAACATTCTAAAATATACTAATATAATAATGTTGTTATAACTATTTAAATAAATATGTAGTTATTAAATGTTACTTTTATAAATTAAATGCAAAATATGATATTTAACAAAGCCTGATCTGTGTAGTTACACCTTTGTCAATACTGATTGAAGATATGCCTTTTCTGGTTGACCAACTGGTAACTTGAGTAATTTTACTTTCAATGCATTATTGACTTCATCTCCAAACTTTTTTATTATTATTGAAAATGCCACTCTCGACATCTCATTGCAACAAATATAGATCATCTTGGTAGATTTGTTATTCTCAGCTAGCACAGGTAATGAACTTATTAATTTTTCTAACAGCGGCTTTTCATCTTGCTTATCCAATACTAAAGAAAGGTAATATTCAAAAACACCTAGACCATTATTCCAATTTTCAATTCTATCTTTAGCAAATGAATTCAACAATTGACGAAGAACTATTAGATCTGAACCCCCTTTTAATATTAAGTAAGGAGCGACATTTGTGGTTAGGACAGTCTCCGCACTTTTGAAATCGTCTGCTTTTAAAAGATATCTTACTTCAGATAAATAGTCATGTTCATAATGGCTGTATAGCGCGAGAGCCTGATTGATCAATGAAGAAGGAACATGTAACTTGTCTAGAATATGTTTATCAAAATCGTTCTTCAATCCTAAAATTTCATGCATTACTATGTTATCCATTTCTTGTTTAGCAGACTTATCATTGATAATAAACGAAGTTGCAAAAAGTGCTTCTTTATATAAACCATCTATTTTCAATTCCTCTATATGATTAATAGTTAAATTATCACAGAACCCATCAGAAAATCTGTAAGAATTATAATGTCTCAAAACTTGAATAAAATACCATAGAAATGACATATCTAAACTGTTTTCCGTTACACTTGTATTTTTGATAACATCCTCTATATTTCTGGAAGCAAAAGTCTTCAAAAGGTAGTAACTTTTATCTGATGATACAGATATTTTCTCAAGAGAGATTCTGACAATCTCTTCCAATTCATACTCATCTACTTGGGAATAAAAAATGTTTAAACCAAATTGAGTCAACCATCCAAATTCTATGGAGATTTCTTCTCTTGATTCTCTATTATTAAATAAGGATCCGCTCAATAGTTCAAATATACGCCTAATCTTTTTGTCGACAGTGTGGCCAATCATATCCCATTTAGAAAGTTGTAAGGACGCAAACTCTCTAATACGTGGGTTATTTGAACCAAGATAAGTTATTAATACAGCTAAATGTCCATTATTTGATTTTATTGCAGTTTCAGTGGCACTAACAATATCATTCAAAGCTAGATATAAAAATATTTTGTCCAAATCGTCAGATGTAGTGGAAATTCTTGTTAAAATATCATGACTGGTTTGTTCAACAATCCATTTACACAGAGAGGAGAATCTAATATTTTTTAACAATTTCGATTTTTCACTTTCACTTTCAACATCATAAGATATATTAATACAATCAAACAATACAGAACAAAGTTTCCAAATATTTTGTTCAATTTTATTTGCATGAAAACTTAATGCTATATCGCTAAATGTGAATGTGCTTGATTCTATTACAGGATATGCATTAGATTCTCTGTTTGATATCTGAACTGAATTTAGATGCTTTTCAAATAGTTCATAAACAATATCTTCGTTAAAAGCACTGCATACAGGGGTGTGTAATAATTTTACTGTATTAGATTCATTAGTCAACAATCTGGAGTCATGACAGAATCTAACCATCTTATAGGAAGTAATTCTACGTTCAGATTTCACTCTTTTCTCTAGTTCCATACCATCATTAAATTCATCAAATAATAGGGTTAAATCGTGTGATGCATTATTTAAAGATGGATCCTTCAAAGATCTAAAGACGGAACGGAGTGAAGAACCCGCTATTTTCAATTGATCTACCCAACGGTTTGAGATATCCAAATTAGGATTTTCTTCTAAACCTTCAAAATCTTTTTCTTCGACATCAGGCTCGTATTGTTTTTCCTCAACGATTAAATCATCGTTGTTCATTTGAATGTCAACTGAATCTTCACCTACCACATAGTTAGAATAATCATAATCTTGTCTATCGCTTGACATTTCTGCACTTTCAATAAAGGATTGCTTAGATTCTATCAAATCATTTCCTATTTCGGAGCCAATGACTTTTGAAATTGCAAGCTTTTTTGCTGTGAAATTGGAAACATTATTAGCAATAACAAGGGCACTTTTATTAAAGGAGTTTTCATCCGTAGATGTACTTTTCTTCTTTTCTTCATTTGACAATTGTTTATTATTTTCTTCGTCATCTTCTATTAAACCCCAAATACTAAAGTGTTTAACCTTGAAAGTCCAAGAACCAGAATGTGGATTGTAGGAAATAAATTCCATGTCTCGCTGGTTCCTCAAACGATCTACAAATAATTGGAGCTCATCAATTCGTGAGACATCTTTAATTGGAAGCCCGGTATTTCTATCTGTTGGATAAACATCCTCAATAGTGATAGTTGCAGGAACATTAATACCGTAACCAATTTGTGGTTTAGACTCCTCATCAGGGTATACTTCCACAGTCCTTGTACTATAAAAATTAACAATATTTCCAAATAGAAAACCTTTAAGGTCAGAGGCAAATGCCGTTAAGTCAACTGGAAAATTAAATGTAATACAGCCATAATTTTTTCTACCTATAACGAAGTGCGAGACCTCGGATAATTGTTGAATAGTCATATTTGATAGTTGCTCAATAGAAGGCGAACACCAATATTCGGATTCGGTTGAAGAAGTTTTTCCTTCATCACCTTGACTAGTAATCAAAGTTGGTACAAGCTTGGGTTGAATCGAGTCCGTTTTATTGTTCAAAGTTGGTTCTATAACGGTATCATTGTTTAAAGTTTCCGATGAATCAATAGAGTTATTTTCATTGTTATTTTCTTTTGTAATCTTTGCTTCTCCTGAAAATAGCTTCAACTTTTTGGCGGCACTTCTGTTTGGCTCAATTTTCAACTTACGCATGTCACTTACGTCATTGTTAGGTAAACAAACTACACCATTTTTACTATTTGATTCTGATAAATTGTTAGAACCTAGTATATCCCTGGCAATGTTATTTTGTGAAGTATTGGACCATTCATTTCTTTTAGAACGGGAAAATATGCCTTGAGTGGATGACCCTTTTTGAAACAGATTTAATCTTGAATTTAATTTATTAATCAAGGAAGAGTTAGAAGTTGGGCGGATATTAGCTGTAGGAACCACAGATGAACTTCTCCTACTGTCTAATTTTGGAGCTGATGTGGTTGAATTTGAAGGTTGTAAAGACTCTGTAATTTTTTTATTCTTACCTAAACTAGCAGTAATTGATTCAGGCATTGTAGTAAGTGATGATGGAGTTGCACCAATATTTAATCCATATGGATATGATGATGTATTTGTAGTAGTTGGGATATTGTTGCCAAACAAACCACCTGATGTGGATGTTGATAGTGTTGACTTATTTCCAAATAGTCCAGAGGATTGTGGCTGTTGTTGTTGTGTAGCACTGTTTCCAAAGAGAGAGACAGAAGGTGCAGGGGCTGTGCTTGCAGCATTATTAGAACCAAACAAACCCGTTTTAGGGGCATTTGTTGTAGAGTTGTTACCAAATAAACTGCCGGATGTAGTTGTGGAATTATTTGTAGAGCCGAACAAATTACCAGTTGTAGCAGGTTGAGTTGGTTTGCTTCCAAACAAACCACCAGTAGTATTAGCAGGTGGGGCAGTTGGAATTTGTGCAGAATTAGTAGAAGAGCCTCCGAATAAACCGCCACCTGTACCGGTTGCTGTATTTGTGTTACCAAAGAGACCGCCAGTATTAGTGGAAGATGGACTTGGGGTAGAAGCTCCAATATTGGTATTATTATTAGTTACATTTCCAAACAAAGTATTTGGCTTTGAAGGCAATTGAAAATTATTTGCTGCAGGAGTAGGAGTGGAAGTCGGAGTAGCGGTATTTACATTACCAAACAATGTATTTGTATTATTTGGATTTCTACTAAACATTATAGTATTATTGTTGTAATTGAAATTATCCTTAGTATTAATGTATTATTGGTAAGATAATAAATCTTGTGTGGGAGCCTTCTTTTTCAGAATAGAAAGTGAAAAGTATAGAAAACAAACAGAGAATCAAAAATAAAAGATGATATTCTAGGACTCAATAATTATCATAAACCTTCTCTGATAAAAATATAAAAAAGGGATAACGTTGTGATCCAAATGAACTCGTCAAAAATAGATAAATAAAGAAATATGGAAAGTTTCAACTATATCTATATCTGATGTAGTATCTATTTATTTTTGATTTTTTAAGTTCGATCAAAAGTAATAAGATTCGAATCAAAAAAAACAAAATAAATATTAAGAAAATGAGAGAAACTCTATATTTCCCTGACGAACCTCTTGAGCAAACTTCCCTAAAGATCACCTCGATCTGATATTGCACTTTGATATACTATCGGTGCAATTGTACAATGTATAATTTCTTTAATGAATTTGTTCAACTTAACATTACATTTTTATTGAATATTTTTTTTTCGTCAATATTTAGAACCGAACTGTTTTTTTTTTTGATTTTTTAGGTTCCTTTCCTTTTCTTGTTGTACCAAATTTATTTTAATATGGCTGTGTCACGTGGTATTTTGATATCACGTGGTTGTGTGTATGTCACGTGATAGGTACTGTTAAAGGTAGGGTAATGTCTGCCTGTTTGTTGTGGTATTTTATTTTGTAAATTTCCAGTTGAAGGTTAAGCAATATCGGAAACCTAAGGAAAAAAGTAATGAAAAAATAAATACATATATATGTATAAATATTTATATTATATATATATATATATATATATATATTTGAAGCTTATAATATTGAAATAAAGGGTTTGATATATTGTTAAATCCAGCAAGTTGCCGTTAAGACAAGTGAATTGAAACTATATATAGCTTAACTTAAGAGACTCTCTTTACTTCTCTTTTTTAAAGTTATTTTTTTTTTTGCTTCTGCTTTTCGCTATAAACTATTGAATTTAGGCTTATTTAAGGTTTTTAGGTTCCTAAGATATAGCAACTATTACAGTACATATAGATACAGAAACACGGGATTTGAAATAATATAGGAGGGTTTCGTTACTATTTATTATTCAAAGGTTGGAAAATAAAGTAAAGCGATAAATAAAAGTTTCATTGTTAATTATTAACTATATTGTTATCCTAACTTTTGCATCCCATCAATAAATTGTCAATATTTATATATATATATGATAATTTTATTCATTATCTAACGGTAGAAGAAATCTTTGTGCTATTAGGCTAATTGTGTATTATATTACAGAGTGGGGATTGGAAAACAAATCAAGGATAGTAAAGATAAAGTGATTGTTAGCAAGAACTACATAATAGGGGAATTGGCTAATTGTAAATTAATTAGTCTCATTATTGTTTTTTTGGTATATTCATCCAAGAAGAAAATAAAAGAGACCAGAAAAAATTGGAAATATAGCTTATTGAAATGAACAATTGGCAATTATCGTATTCAACACCAGTTGATTTAATTGAACATTTGAAAAAACCTTATTTTAGATATGATAATAAAGAAAAAGAGGCAACGAAAATTATCTTTGATGAAAGGGCAAATTTGATTTGGTGTGGTGATAGTTATGGTAGAATATCTTCTTATGATCCAAATTTTCAGTTATACACTCGTTACACAGGTCATTTTGGTGCCATGCCAGTAAATGATATGCTATCCCATAGAGATGGTATTCTATCATTAAGTGACGATTCTTTGCATTTTTCAAATAGAAGGGGTGTGACCACAATGAATATAACCAGTATAGATATCTCTCTCTTGAGTGGTTTGAAAACTATGTGTTATGCTTCAAAAGACGTTCAAAATGTTTTATATTGTGCTGGTAACAATTCAAATTCTGGTATACTTTCAATTGATTTAAATAAAAATTGTCTATCATCGATAATTGATTACTCTTCAAAGGTAAAATTGATGTGTTCTAATAATAAAATTATCTCAATTGGTAAACAATCAGGTTCCATAGATCTATTGGACCCAAATTCGAATCATATCATAAAATCATTTTCCGCTCATTCTGCAACTATTTCATGCATGGACTCAAGAGATTATACTTTAGTAACAGTAGGGAAATCACGAAGGTTTAATAGTATGTTTGCGGATCCATTCATTAATGTTTATGATTTGAGAACTATGCAACAGTTGCCTCCGGTATCGTTTTCCAAGGGAACAAATATGGGTTCTGGAGGTGCGGATTATGTGAAATTACATCCAGTCCTACCTACAGTGATGACTGTGGCTTCCGAACAAGGTTCATTTGATTTTATAGATTTATCGAATCCAACTCTAAGAACTCAATTCGTACATCCTTGTCGTTCAGTTAAAGATATGGTAATATCAGCCAACGGTGATTATTTAGGGTTTTTAACAGGTGATAACACTTTGGGGACCTGGTGTAGGTCAAGTTCGAATCCTGGATTTACTAATACTCCAGATATATTAGAATATCCAGATTTTATAAATGATGGTATTTTAAATGTACCAGGTTCCATTGACAATGATGATTACTCCCTAAGTTCTGTAGGTATGCCCTATTACCCTGAAAAGTTACTTTCAGCTTGGTCTCAAGTTGTTTTCAGAAGTAAAGGTACTCTTCCGAAGGCAATTGATGTTTCTCAATTAACGAATTCAAAACTCCAACCTATTAAACCGCAACAGACTAATATTATTCCATCTAATAACAATAATGGTATCAATAACAATAATAATAACAACAGTAATATTAACAACAACGGCAACAACAATAATAATAAATTACCACATTTTTATAAATATAATTGTTCAAAATATGGACATCGTAATGTAATCGAGTCCTATGTTTGTTATAAAGATATAAGAAAAACTGTGACCAATAAGCTAAACATTGTGAACAAGAACTCTTCAGCGAACGGTACTTTAAATGTAATCGATACGGAATTACTGCGATGTAAGCCGTTGAATGATCAAGAAATTCCTCCTGCATATATAAAATTACAATTGACTCATGGCCGTTACGGTTCTGATAACTTCGATTTCAAATCGTTTAATAAGACAACATTTTCTGGATTAGATACAGATATTGATCACCCTTACACTAACTCGATACTTCAGTTATACAGATTTATTCCTGAAATCTTTAATTTTATTGTGGGCTGTTTAAAGGATGAAAATTTTACACAAAATTCTTTACTTACAGAGACGGGTTATTTATTTGATATGATGCAAAGATCCCAAGGCAGAGTCTGTTTCACTTCTAATTTCCAAACAACCTTGGATTCTTTAGATGATTCATCAATGACTAATTCTTCGACACCAAACATGATGCACTTGCAACAAAATAATACCATATTTCAGTCGTTAGAATGTTTATCATTAGATTCTGAAGATATGGGCTCTTTGAATTGTGCAGATAGCCTAGCAAAGGGGCAAACCCAGAAATTTAATGATCGTTTCCTAAATAGCTTAATTGCAGATGAATTACAGAGAAGTACGCATACTATTACTATAGAAGAAGATTTTGGATTTCATCTGGAATCTGAGGTGCTGTCCAGTTGCTCTCATTATGAGAAGAAAACTAGAATTATTCCGACACTGTCAGTAACTTCTCCTGTAAGAAACTCAACAAAACATATTAATCGTAAATTAACAAACCATACAATTTTACCATATATCGAATCTTCTATGAAAAGGATTAAACAAGTACAAAGCACCTGTGAGATCTGTAATAAAAACGAAATAGTTGAACATGAAATAGTGATAAAAAATCTTCCTCCAGTAATGTCCTTAGAATTACTTTTATCTGAGAATGAGTGGACAGTTGCCAAATCTGTAAATGATTGGTTATCCCCTGAATTTTATGCAACTATGTCTAAGGATAAGGCAGTTCTCAAGAACCATCCTAATGAATTAAAAACTTCCAATCCTATCTTTAAATACGAGCTAAATGGATATGTAGCCAAAGTTACTGACACGACTGGTGAGAATAGGTATGTCACCTATTCAAAGATATATGACAATGATGATAAACGTTACAAGTGGTATTTATTCAATGACTATTTGGTTACAGAAATAGAGGAAGAGGAAGCGTTGAATATAACCTATTGGTGGAAAACAGTAGAGACTGTAATATATTGCGATTCTGAAGAGTTACGCAAGCCATTTTTATCAGTTGATACTTATCCGATAAACTATAACATTTTATATCGTGATCATTTTGCCAATGGTGTTAGAAAAGATGCTGCAGCTCAGTATCAACTATTAACAAAAGGTGAATTATCTGATATCCCTAAACCTGGTACATTAATTGCAATTGACGCAGAATTTGTGATATTAAATGAAGAAATGAGTGACATTGATTGTAAAGGTATCAAGACAATTATCAGGCCTAAAAAAACTGCATTAGCAAGAGTTTCAGTGTTACGTGGTGAAGAAGGTGATTTATACGGAGTTCCGTTTATTGATGATTATATTGTTCAAACTGACCATATTCAAGATTATGTTACTAAGTACAGTGGTATTAACCCTGGAGATTTAGATCCTAAGAATAGTTCTAAAGCCTTAGTGACTAGGACAGTAGCTTACAGAAAGATTTGGTTGTTAATGCAATTAGGGTGTGTATTTGTTGGACATGGTTTAAGTAACGATTTCAAACAAATTAATATCAATGTTCCACAGGAGCAGATTAGGGATACTGCCATTTACTTCCTCCAAGGTAAAAGATTTTTATCATTAAGATACTTGGCATATGCTATCCTTGATAGAAACATCCAAGAAGGCAATCATGATTCGATTGAAGATGCGTACACTGCATTAATCCTTTACAAGAAATACCTTGATTTGAAAGAAAAGGGCACCTTGAATCACGTGCTAGATGTCATCTATGAAGAAGGTAGAACAACCAATTATAAAGTACCAGAAACCAATAAAGAAGTGGTAGTTACCAAATATTGAAATGAAAATAAAAGGACATGAAGAAAGGGACAACTAATAGATGTTGCTGAAAACAATTAAAATTAAAATTAGAGCCACAGCAATAACAATACCAGCAGCTGACCTGACTTTTAACGAAAGAAAGAAAGAAAAAATAAAAAAGATACACCAAAAAGAAAAAATACACCAAAAAAAATTACAAAAACAATAAAAGACAAATGATATACCCATAACCAAAAAAGTATACATTTTACCAATCTCTATTGATTATTATAATTATAATTGCAATAGGTGATTAATCCCACCGAGATTAGTCTAATCTATTACGTATATACATTTTAACCATAAACGTACACTACGTACCATATATATATATATATATTACTAATAATCTTATGTGACTATATCATTAGAAACGACACTCTTTATTTTTTGTTGAATAAATTTTTTTTTCCTTGCCTGTCTCTTTTCGAAAAGGGAAAAAGGAAATTTAATTGATACCATTAGCATCATCATCATCATCATCATCATCAAATTTAATTACATAAAAAAAAAGTTAGAAATTAAGAAAATACCTATTAAATTTAAGTTTAAGTTAAAGTTTAGTGTATTTTTTGTTGTTGTTCTTTTTTAAATTTGATCTTTTAATTGTTCAGAGGGGAACTATATATTGGCAATTTGGTTCGAGCCTAACAATTCATATTTCTATCCTTTTTTTAATAAACATTTTTTCTACTTTATTTTTTTTTTCTTTTAAGCCTGCTTACTGGTTTCGTAATAGTGGTAGTGTATACGACATTTGTAGTAATATTAACTGATTCTATTGCAAAAAGTACTGGATACTTTATTGGCAGGGGAAAAAATAAAAAATAAATTAAAAGATAATAATATACAACCTGATTATAATACAAATTTATAGTCGTATACTTGTTCACAATACGGAACTAAATTTTGCTTGAGTTTGTTTGTGTTTAAATTGAGAATTTGTTTTACAGTAATCCTATCTGAACTGACCGAGTGGGTACCCTGTTTATTTCATATTATAATATTTGAAGTTCTCATTAGATAGTTCAACATTTTTTTTTAAAAAATTTAGACTAGAACGTTGGAAAAAAAAGATAAAAAATAAATAAATAAAAAAAAGAATAAGCACTTCGTGTTACCTATTATTTCCCCCATTATTAATTTTTTTTATTCTTACTAAACTTATTTTAATTTTAAGATAAAAAGAATACAAAATAACCATAAATATAAAAAGTATAATAACCATCAATCGTATAAGAATATACCTTATAGTATGGGAAACAGCCCGTCAAGGACAAGTAATAGCAATACACTAGTACCGAAGAGCTCATCCAGTAATCAACAACAATTAACAACTAGTGATGACCTTAATAATAACGAACCTAATGACCCAGATGATAGTAGGCCACCTACTATCTATAATAAAAATACGAAGGATATAGAAGTTACCTCTATACCAATTAAAAAACCATCAGAAAGAACAAATTTTGGAAGAAATGGTTCACTGGTAAGAAACCAAGGAAGTGGTAATACTAATATTGAATATAGTGCTACTCCAGGAATGGTCATTCTTTCAACAAATAACAGTAATAGTAATAATAGCAATGCTAACAAATTGAAGTCAAGAAATTCAAATTCAAATTACAATTTGGACATAGATATCTCCTTAGCAAAGGCTTTCTCTACGTCAACAACAATTGCATCAGTAGGTAGTAGCAATAGTGATTATTTCGGTAGTAGTGGCAGTAGTGAAAATACGCTTTTCATTTCTTCTCATAATTCTATGAAGGATGACCCAAACAATCAAAATAGTAGCTTTGTCAAGACTATCGCAAGTACTCCGACAACTGCTATCAATACTCACAATCATTTATCAACAAGTCAAGTTTCAAATAAGATGAACGGATCCTATTCCGGAAACAATAGCTATAATAATAGCGGAGTGTCAACTTCATTCTCATCTATACCTAATTATAGATCAACCGCCAAACCTGTCTTTTTGAAGAGATATCCTCATGACAGTTCAAGTTCTGACGGTTTGGATGTTGATGACGCCATTGAAAAATTGTTAAAATTGGGTGAATCTAGAGTCTATAAATCAAAAGATTTCCCCTTCCATTCTTGGGAAATTCAATTGATCTGTTACCATGCAAGAGAAATATTCATGCATCAACCATCGTTATTGAAACTACAGGCACCAATTAAGGTAGTCGGTGATCTTCATGGACAATATTCAGATCTTTTACGAATTTTGAAATTGAGCGGTGTCCCGCCAGAAACTAATTATCTATGTCTGGGTGATTATGTTGACCGTGGTAAGCAATCTTTGGAAACTATATTATTACTGTTATGTTATAAGATCAAATACAAGGACAATTTTTTTATGTTACGAGGCAATCATGAATCGGCAAATGTTACGAAAATGTATGGTTTCTATGATGAATGTAAGAGAAGGAAAAATACAAAAGTTTGGAAAATGTTTATTGATGTATTTAATACATTACCGTTCGCTGCAGTTATTCAAGACAAAATTTTCTGTGTCCACGGTGGTATTTCACCTGAATTGAAATCAATGGAACAAATTGAGAGTATTAAAAGACCAACAGATATTCCTGATGAGGGTTTAATAACTGATATCTTGTGGAGTGATCCAAATGCACAAGCACAAGCATGGTCATTGAATGACAGGGGTGTTTCATACACATTTGGTAAAAAGACTGTTGTTGATTTTTGCTCTCAGTTCAAATTTGATTTAATTATCAGAGGACACATGGTAGTAGAAGACGGTTACGAATTTTTTGCAAAGAAGAAATTGGTAACTGTTTTTTCAGCTCCTAATTATTGTGGTGAATTCCAAAACTGGGGTGCTGTCATGAGTGTTACCACTGGTTTGATGTGTAGTTTCGAACTGCTGAAACCTCATGTGATTAAACAGAAGAAATCTAAGAATTGACAGAAGTTCCCAGTTTTCTGACTACCGATCAGATTAGTTCTAAATTAATTTTCCATTTGTCCTTTTTGTGATCATCCCCTCAAGAATTACGTTATTTCTTCGTCTCAAAAACCAACTGTACAATATATTAACAATTTTTTGGTCGCAACATTTTTAATGCTAATATTTCTTACTCTCCCTTACTCGGTATTCTGAAGTTTAAAGCTAAAATAAGTTTATACTTCGTTTTACTTGAAGTAATTTTTTCATATTAAATAATTTTTGACTAACTCCTATATAAAATGATGAAAAAATATAATGAACCCAGGCTGTTTTGTCTATAATCAATAGTTTCTATTTTCTATTTATTAATAATAATTATTGTCATATAATCTTAAAGTAAATGAGTGTCTAAGTTTTCAAAAAAAATTAGAAATAAACTCCGATACGGGGAGTCGAACCCCGGTCTCCACGGTGAAAGCGTGATGTGATAGCCGTTACACTATATCGGATAGTAACTTGTTGAAATTTTTAATAATTATTTTAACCACGTCCGCAGATGTATTGTCGTATAGATTGACTTGCATGTGATTCTCACATGAGTGGAACTTTTCAACTGCAGTAATGTGTAGGCTAATTACCCAAGTCAATGGCCTCTCCATTTTGACGTAACTACTACAAACATCAGGTAGTTCTTATGAATAGATCTGGAAATTTTGGGATTTGGAAAAAGCAGTAGAACTTGATAATTGTTCATTATTTGGGAATAAATAAATTTTCTTTTGTCATATATTTCTATTGAATATAGTTTAGAATATTTCAATTGTCTTCTCATCCAATGATTGGAAGTTTTTCGTCGTCGATTAGTTCTATTTATTTGCTTTATTTGATGTACCTTAATAATGTTAACTTTTGCACTATAAATGAATACCATTTTTTGGTTATAAATTATGAAACTATTTTTACTTCTTTATGATTTAAAATCGTAGTTTGGTCAATCACCTAGAGTTCTTATACTAACAAGATTTTAAATATGTTTTGGTTTAAGTTTCTTGGCAAACTCATATAATATTTGTATCTAAAAAAAAGTGATTTTGTAAAAACAAATCATTAACTTCTGGGTCATGTTGGGTTCGATAACTCTTTCCAAAACTAAATTTCCTAACAAATTAAAAGAATATGGTGGGGTCATTTCCAAACATTGGCTAGTTCCTACAATTATTACATGAATTTGATTAACATATTTTGTTTACCCAATTGTTTCTCAAATTAACAATTATAGGATTAATTTGCGGAATATTTCCCATCCTCCTTCTTAGAGATTATACCAAGTGTTGCAAGAGTAACCATGGTTTCTATTTATATTCCAAATATCCCTTAAAAGTATACCTGCCATCTAGATCATTGTCAATCAATGTTAAGCTGCAATATGCGCAATCATGGAACTGCAAGAATTGCTTACACCAAATATGATATTTCATAAACTAAATACGACATGCATTCATATTAAATTGAACAATTATTAATAACAACTCAAACATCCAGAAGTTATTAGAAACAGTTTAAATTAATGAGAGGTGACATTATACAAATACTGACATTTTACTAATATTATTGTATTGTTTCAACATAGTTTAATACGAATGGATTGTAAGATCTATGACACCAGATAATAAGTGTTATTATCGTTCATACTTATAAAGAATAATAGTAATTACTATTTGAAACAGTTGTATAGTATTGTATATTATTTACTTACTTTGTACATTAGAAGAAGGGATATAGAACTCTTTAATTAATAAATATACTTATTTACAGTACTAATCTACCACCAAATAGACGAATAGAATAAATACCATAACAGCATTTATTCGACGTACAATTATTAGATATCTACAACTAAAGAATTCACAACAAAGAATACATTATATTCAAGTCACATGATTCAACTAATCTTCCATCGTTATAGAAACACATGATCTTCCGTGTGTAATGAGCTCCATTAGTAATCAGAAAGGCGACATTTTGGCAAAGGGCTAGCAATCAAACCTATTAATTATCCTAATGTCTAATTATATAAAAGGGAAGTATATCTTTAGCTAATTATAAATCAATTAAACTTTATTAATTAATAATTGTAGCAATTAAAATATTTGTAATTTGAAGTATCTGATAAGACAATTGAGACTTGTTTAGGATAGAAATGCCTGATTTGTTTTCAGATATCTGTCAATTATGTCATTCACCAGAAGGGTTTGGCCCCATATCCTACTATGGTGACTTTACTCAATGTTTTATCGATGGAGTCTTATTAAATTTATCATCTTTGTTTATGATTATATTTGGTATTTCAGAGATTAGTCGTTATTTGAAGAATGACCATCCAGGTGTGAAATACAGAAATAATTGGTTGATTATCTCCAGATTAGGTTTAGTATTGATTAATATCGTTATTGTCTCTTTAGCTTCATTAAGCATTCCACATAACAAGACAAGAGATATTACGGTGATCTCTCAATATACTTTATCCCTACTCTCGCTATTTGTAGCTCTAGGATTACATTGGGTTGAGTACCATCGTTCTAAAGTTGCCAATGGTGTAGTATTGTTTTATTGGCTATTCGAGACGTTTGGAAACCTTGCTAAAACAGTCAATTTCTTAATCAGATATACCTATGAAGATAGTTTCTATTTTGGACGCAATGTTTTCATTTTCACGATATTCCAAACAATCATCTCATTATCATTGCTGCTTTTGGAGGCTATTCCAAAGAAACCTTTGATGCCTTATCAAATAATTCAAGATCATTTGTCAAAGAGAAAGGAGAACCCATATGATTCAGCAAATATTTTCTCTAGAATTTCATTTAGCTGGATGACTGAATTAATGAGAACTGGTTACGAAAAATATCTGTCTGAATCTGATTTGTATAAATTACCAGAATCTTTCAGCAGTGATAGATTAGCAAAAGCGTTTAATGTACACTGGGAAAATCAGGTAAAACACAAATCTAATCCTTCTTTAGCTTGGGCTATGTGGTCTACATTTAGTTCTAAACTAGTTCTGGCCGCATTTCTAAAAGCAATTCACGACGTTTTGGCCTTCACCCAACCTCAGTTACTAAGAATCCTTATCAAATTTGTCAATGATTATACAGAATCTAGAGGCGGTGTTAAGTTACCATTTTTAGGCTCTACAGGCGAAGGTGATACTCCTCACGAATTACCTATTATAAGAGGTTTCATGATTGCTGTTGCAATGTTTTTAGTCAGTTTCATTCAGACATCCGTTTTACACCAATATTTCTTGAATTCATTCAACACTGGTATGAATATCAGAAGTGCCATGACCTCAGTTCTTTACCAAAAAGCATTGGTGTTATCGAACGAGGCTTCAGATTTGTCATCTACTGGTGATGTTGTTAATTTGATGAGTGTTGATGTTCAAAGATTACAAGATTTAACTCAATGGTGTAATATTATCTGGTCCGGTCCCTTCCAAATTATTTTGTGTCTATTCTCTCTATACAAATTGTTAGGACATTCAATGTGGGTTGGTGTCATCGTTTTAATCGTGATGATTCCATTAAACTCCTACTTGATGCGTATTCAAAAGCAATTACAGAAAGTTCAAATGAAATATAAGGATGAAAGAACCAGAGTCATCAATGAAATATTAAACAACATTAAATCATTGAAGTTGTATGCTTGGGAGCAGCCTTATAAAGAAAAATTAGAACATGTAAGAAACGAAAAGGAATTGAAGAACTTAACAAGAATTGGTGTTTTCAATGCAATGACCAACTTTCAATTCAATTTAGTCCCATTTCTAGTCTCCTGTTCTACTTTTGCCGTGTTTGTGTACATTGAAGATAAACCACTTACAACTGATTTAGTTTTCCCTGCCTTAACTTTGTTCAACTTGCTAACTTTCCCACTGGCTGCTCTACCAATAGTTATTACCGCATTCATTGAAGCCTCAGTCTCCATGAGCAGATTATTCTCTTTCATGACAAATGAAGAATTACAAACGGATGCTATTCAAAGATTACCTCCAGTAAAGAAACAAGGCGATATTGCCGTTAACATTGGTGACAATGCCACCTTTTTATGGAAAAGGAAACCTGAATATAAAGTGGCATTGAAAAACATTGAATTCCAAGCCAAAAAGGGAGAATTAGCTTGTATTGTTGGTAAGGTCGGTAGTGGTAAGAGTGCATTTATACAAAGTATTTTAGGTGATCTATTCAGGGTCAAAGGCTTTGCCACTATTCACGGTAATGTTGCATATGTAAGTCAATTACCTTGGATTATGAATGGTACCGTTAAAGATAATATTTTATTCGGTCATAAATATAACCAGGAGTTTTATGAAAAAACATTAAGGGCATGTGCATTAACTATAGATTTATCCATTTTACCTGATGGTGATCAAACTTTAGTTGGTGAAAAGGGTATTTCTTTATCTGGTGGCCAAAAAGCAAGGTTATCTTTAGCAAGAGCTGTCTATGCAAGGGCAGATGTTTACTTATTAGATGATCCATTAGCTGCTGTCGATGAACATGTTTCAAAGCATTTAATCCAACATGTTATCGGACCAAACGGTTTGTTACACACCAAAACTAGGGTTTTAGCTACCAATAAGATTTCTGTCTTGTCAATTGCTGATAATATAACATTGTTAGATGATGGTGAGATTGTTCAACAGGGTACTTATAACGAAGTGACAGATAATATCAATTCACCTCTGTGTAAATTAATTAGTGAATACGGTAATAAGAATAATGTGAACAGTAGCACCGACACGGAATCAACTATGACACCTAAAGAGAGCTCCACAAGTTTAAACCGTGAGAATACCGTGCCTGTTGAAACTGAGTTAAAGGAATTGGATAAATTGAACGACTTGAAGTTTCTGGATGATGAAACGGGAAGTTTAAGAAGGGGAAGTATGTCTACTTTAGGATCAATTGATTTCAATGATGATCAAGATAACGATAGGCGTGAACATAGAGAACAAGGTAAAGTGAAATGGTCCATTTACAAAGAATATGCAAAAGCCTGTAATCCAAGAAGTGTTGTTATGTTTCTGTCTTTTATTGTTTTATCCATGTTTTTATCTGTGATGGGTAATTTTTGGCTAAAACATTGGTCTGAAGTCAATACTAAATATGGTAAAAATCCAAATTCTACTCATTATTTGTTAATCTATTTCGGTTTTGGTGTAACTTCAGCATTCGCCACCTTATGTCAAACAGTTGTTTTGTGGGTTTTCTGTACCATTCACGGTTCTAAATATCTACATTCCTCCATGGTGTCGTCAATTCTGAGAGCTCCAATGACATTTTTTGAAACTACGCCAATCGGCAGAATTTTGAATAGGTTTTCTAATGATGTCTACAAGATTGATGAAGTTCTAGGTAGATCATTCTCACAATTTTTTGTTAATGCAGTCAAAGTTTCGTTTACCATTCTTGTTATCTGTTGGAATACTTGGCAATTTATCCTATTGGTTATCCCTATGGGTGTTTTATATTTATACTACCAACAATATTACTTAAGAACTTCTAGAGAACTTCGTCGTTTGGATTCTATTACAAAATCTCCAATCTATGCCCATTTCCAAGAATCTTTAGGCGGTTTAGCAACAATTAGAGGTTATGAACAACAGAAGAGATTTATTCATATTAACCAGGCTAGAGTAGACAATAACATGAGCGCATATTATCCATCCATCAATTCCAATCGTTGGTTAGCCTATAGATTAGAATTTTTGGGTTCTTTAATTATTTTTGGTGCTGCTTCCTTATCAATCTTGAAATTGAGGGACGGTACATTGACTGCTGGTATGATTGGTTTATCTTTAAGTTATGCTCTACAAGTAACTCAATCCTTGAATTGGATTGTTAGAATGACAGTTGAAGTTGAAACAAACATTGTTTCAGTTGAGAGAATTAAGGAATACGCCGAATTGAAGAGCGAAGCTCCATTAATAATTGAAGAGAAGAGGCCATCTGAAAATTGGCCTGAGCGTGGTGCCATCAAGTTTGAAAATTATTCAACACGTTATAGACCTGACTTAGATTTAGTCTTAAAGAATATTAGCCTTGACATCAAACCTCAAGAAAAGGTCGGGATTGTCGGTAGAACTGGTGCTGGTAAATCGTCATTGACATTAGCGCTATTTAGAATAATCGAGGCTGCCGAAGGCTCCATTATTGTTGATGGTCTAAACATCAGTGAAATTGGTTTATACGATCTGAGACATAAATTGTCAATCATTCCACAAGATTCTCAAGTATTTGAAGGTACCATTAGAGAAAACATAGATCCTACAAACATCTATACTGATGAACAGATTTGGAACGCATTGGAATTATCTCATTTGAAACAACATATTTTACGTATGAATGAAGAAAGTGTCAATGGAAGTGAAAATAACGCACTATATACAAGAGTTACCGAAGGTGGTAATAATTTAAGTGTAGGTCAGAGACAATTAATGTGTCTTGCAAGAGCATTGTTGGTACCGTCCAAGATATTAATTTTAGATGAAGCCACAGCGGCTGTCGATGTTGAAACTGACAGTCTGATCCAAGAAACTATTCGTACAGCCTTTAAAGACAGAACAATCTTAACTATTGCACATAGACTAAATACTATCATGGATAGCGACAAAATTGTTGTACTTGATAAAGGTGAAGTAGCTGAATTTGATACCCCTCAAAATCTTCTAAAAAATACAGAATCTTTGTTCTATTCATTGTGCGAACAATCTGGCTTAAACGGTGCCAAGTGACACCAATACGAATAATTTATATCTCATATTCCGTTAACCATTTCTCAAACCAAACCGCTACAAGAAGAGATAATGTTTTCTTTTTAAAAAATAATGTGTATATTCCTAAAAATATAATTCCCAATAGTTAGAATACATAAATAACAAGAACAATTCTGTAAATTAATTAAAATGATGGATATTTGTAAAAAATATTTTTGGCTAATAATCATAGCTCTATCAAAAGTAAACTAATTTTAATTCTTCAAATTTAATCAAACATCTAAAATTTTAAAAGTACTAGATATATACCTAATCCATTAAAGACTAGTTTATAAAAATCATTCTTGTTCAAATCATTGCATTGATTTATACGTGTCCCATCCTTTATCAAGTTTCTGATTTTTCCTTTTTTTTTTATCTTACTAAGCAACGACAGGTACGTCAGTTTCTCTTGACCGAAATAGTGAAATAATGAAAAATTATATCAAGAAGATTATTAATTATATGAATACTTGACTATTATGATTTGATTAATATAAAAAGAAGCTTTATTATTGATAATACATTTAGGTGTGGATATTAGAAATTTATCTTTGATCACATAAGATTAAGCTGATCAATTTTTAGCTTCTATTATTGTCGCTGGCTGCTATTGTGTAGAATTATCGTAACGTTATAGTGAACCTTTCCGATGAGTGTCCCTATGCCCTTTGAAAGTGCCAATTCAGAGAAGAGTGCTGGTAATGATGATTTAAGAGAACCTATTCCTCAGTTATTACCTCATCAGAAGATGTACAAGATTCAAATTGGTTCCGAGTTGTTCAAAGTTAGTGGTGCTTCTTTGAGTTCCGACGGTCCAAGTTACTTCACAGAATATTTCTGTAAAAACTCTGATAAATCTGACGATGTTCTGTTTATTGATAGGTCTGCTGATATTTTTAGTAGGATTTATCAACATCTACAAGGTTATGCAATTCCGATTAAGGATGAGATTGAATATACTATGATATTTTCCGATGCCATGTATTATCATTTACCTAGATTAATCTCCATATTATCAGAGACAGAATATTTCTATACAAATGTTGGTGGCCAAACATTCAAATTTCCAAAGAAATTGTTTTGTAGGAAAGGTGATTCCCCAAATTATTTCCATATGACAACCGGTGTTCATAATTTAGATCTAACAAAATTTGTTGAGCTTTCGTTAAAACAATTACGTCCACCACCAATGTCCCCTCCATATATAGCTAGATCACCACATTATTTCTCAGATTTGCTGAGCCTATTAAGTGGTGCTTCCTTTGAAATGGATGATGAAAAAAGAAAATCATTGATTAAAGAATGTAGATATTACATGTTTTTGAATTTGGAGCAAAGATTGATCAAAGCTAAAGTTATTTTCAATCCTTTGACACAATTAGAGGATATATTGCTTGATATGGTGGATTTAAATAAGAGATATGTTGTGACCCCAGACGTACCAGTGGAAGATACTCCAGATAGTGATTATATGAATGATCCTTCTTCCATTAAATTAGATAAGGATGGCAGCTTATCATCTGATGAAAGCCCTTGTTTTGAACCACCTTCCAAGAAGAAGAAATTAGATAGTAGCAGCGATTGTTACAAAAAGAAAGTTTCTGGATGTTGGAATATGATTTCTTATCAAAGGCCATATATTGACGATAACCAAAGAGATCTAATGTTTCAAATAAACACTACGGACTCCTCAATTGTCATTAATCTAGACAAGAAATTGATCCATCTGACATTAACGGGAGAATCTGCTTCAGAATTCGATAAAATATTTGGGGCAGCTTTATTAAAAGTCGGAATCAATTTGAATAATCATAAATTTAAATTGCCGGTAGGAACATCAAAGGAATCGGTTCAACTCGTTCTTCCTGCGTGTTTGTCCCTATGTAACTTATATGTGAACAGCGTGGAGTACCCATGCGTAAGTTCATTATTAACTGAATCAAACAACGGCAATTATCCAAACTGCGTTACAGCAAAGGTAGAACGCATAATAGATTTCACTAATTTGAACCAATTGTCATGTTCAAAGGGAATAAAATTGAATTGTACAAGATCTATATGGAAAATTGGTGTCAGATATGGAAAGGTGATGCTAATAGCAATCAAGGCTGATACTTACCATGGTGCAAAGGAATATTGTAAATCTGTAAACTATTTATAAGCAAAGACCCACCCGGTAGTGGACTGCCTGCCCTCCCTCCCTCTTTACATTCTTCCTTTTTACAAGACAGACAGAACCTTTGTAATTGCATGAGATCTTCGACAACTACTCGTTTAGTTATATATGTAAAATTAAATTAATCCATAAGAATACTACATTTTTTAATTGTCACTGACCAATATATACGTATTTATCAGTGATTACCTCCCAATTAATCATTTGGATGGTTCACCATTGTTAAGCTTCTTTTTTATAAACAATCGTGAGCTATCTTGATGAAATTCGGCTATAACACGAAATATTTTTGATCTGACTATTTAAGGAAACAAAAACAATGCCCACCAAGGGTTAAACAAGAAGCGTTAGAGGTAGGTTTTAGATATTGAATTGAGTCAATCTTCGAGGCATCTTTGTTCTTTTCTGGGAAATTTGTTTATGGGTTTTGAGTCAGGATGCAAAAGACTCTAAAAGATATTAGTAATAAAGTTGGGAATGAGAAAGATGGAAGCTTTCCATCTCATAGGGACAATAATGTATTTAAAAGACTAACGCTATCACCTCCAAAAAAATACTTGTCCAAACCATCAAGTAATTCCCCTTCTAGACTACCAGTTTCAACATCAGGTAATGTTAAGGGAAAATATGGAATTCAGGTTACTCCTAAGAGAATTGCTTCACCAGATTGTTTAAAAGATTTTAACGTCAAAATAGATCAACCTCTAATGATGACAGATTCAGGTAGCAAAAAACGTTCTGTTTTAGTGGATACAGATTCTGTAACAAAGGTAACGTTCCCAACATCACCAATTAAAATCAAATTTGCAGAAACGAAACCTCTTGGAGGAGATGGTTCTCTAAATAGAATAAGAGCAAAATTTAAGAATGGACTAATGTCTCCTGAAAGACACAATGCAGGATCCACATCAATACTTCATTCTGAACCAATTAATGAAATCAGACCTTCGTTAAGAGCAGGGAGAAATCTATTCAAAGAGTTGCAAAGGGAAGACTCAATTGGATCTGAAGAGGATTACAATTCTGTAACTAAAAGAAACACATCATACAATGCCAGTATGAAAAAATCGGGATCGATTACGAAATCATCTCCAATGAAGAAATCTGTAAAGTTTGCAGTTCCTTCAGATGATCAGGAATATTCTGAATTAAAGAGTGAATTAAGCGATATAAAGAATTTATTATTAAGTTTAGTCAATAAACAAACTTCAATCGAATCAAGACTTTCACAATTAGAAGAACAAAATAGATAATGGATTTTAATATCTCTTATTTCAGATAAATTTAATTATAAAAGATGGTTAGTGAATTAACTTACCAATTTTTTTTATTGAGAGGTATGCCTAATTTCTTCTTTATTACGTCCATCGAACCAATAGCATCTTCAGAACTATCATGTTCACCTGTTTGGATTTTTCTATCGATATGTTCAAAAACGAGATTTTTCAAGGAAGGCTTGAATTTACCCTTTGAATATATAATAGCAGTGTCAATGACTTTATGATGTACAATTCTTAGGACGTTCAAATCGTTCTCTAAACCGTGACCAATAAGGATACTGTTTTTGTTAATAAGTTGATTGCATAAAACTCTTCCGATTGCAGCTTGATATGTCAGAGCAGTATTCCTGTCGATTCCATGAACACCACTGAATTGTGTGTTTAAATCTATAATATCACCTATTGGTTGAATAATTTCGTCAAACAAAGTTTGCAAAGAAAAAAAATCTACAATTGTCAACCTAATCATTTCATAACCCAGTGATGTAAACGCCATTTCACAATCTAATGCAAGCACATTATTATGACCATCGATATTACGTGTATTAACGAATTTTGTAATTCGACTAAGCTCATTAATACCTTCACCTCTATATACATGATTTGTACTTTGTTTACATCCTAATCTAAGGTTTGAAGTGGAATCAGTCGTTTCTCCACAACATGGATATTGGTTACTACCAGTTTTTGAAAATACTCTTTTTAATGGATGATATTTACAAACTGTTGATTCCATTATATTTTTCTTAGAGAATTTAGTATTGCAACGAGTGCAAGAAATAAAATCAGATATCTCACTGTCATGTTTTGCAATATGATCAATTATATAACCATTTTTTTCCAATTCTGTAACATCGTGTAATAATTCATTCAATTTTAAAACAACTTCTTCCTTAGTAATTAAAATATCCTGCTTGACTAAACTTGACGAAAGAAATTTCTCATTTACAATACCATGAAGAGTTTTGTTACTAACCTTTATCTTGGATAAATCACACTTGCTCTTCAATAAGTCACGAAGAACAATACTAGCATTAAATCTATAACTTTGACTTGTAACTGATGATTTTGCAATAAACCCTTCTATTTGAACAGATAAAGCCTCCAACCCACTAGAATTTGATGGCATATATTTTTTGAACAACCCAAACAGCTTCTTGACGACTTTGTACCTATCTACATATCCAATTGGTTGACGTACCATCTCTTGTGGACGTAAACTAGTACTTTCATTGTGATTATTCATGCTAGTTCCTCCAAATTACCACTTTTTAATTCAGAAAAAAACGGTCCAATATAAAACAAATCTTGAAGATTTCAATGAAGCTAATTTTCTAGAGCAATCTCAACTGTTGAAGTCTTTAAACTGATCGTTAGTTGCATGTTCAGATTCCAGGTCCATGTCACCTTTATAGTTTCGATTCGATGAGGTCTATATTTATCATCGCCATATACGACATTGAAAATTTTTGATCAAATTGCGATGAGATGAGATGAGATGAGATAGAAAATATATAAGAAGAGGTAGCGATGAGATTTAGTTTAAACTACAAGAAAGAGTTATCAAAAGGTCAACCAGCTGTAAAGGAATATATTGATTGATATTTTTACATTTTTAGGCTGCTATATATTTGTTGGATCAGTGTGAATTAGTGTTTTTTGTTTATTTTAAAAAACTTTATCACTGTTAGATTCTTATTTCAAATTAGTGGTGTTAGTAAGATGTCTCACGACGATATCCTTTTTGATTTGACCAAAGCTAGGGAAAGAATTCAAGTTTATCTTGAAACTTTTTCTGGTTGTGAAGTAACTAGCATTTTTGAATTTGATTTGTCGAAGACTGGTTCTCAAAATTTGTATGAATTAGCAAAATTTGCACTTGAAGAAAGAAATACTTTACCATGTCTTTTTGTTTACAACACTTTGTATTTGGAAGTTATTTCTTTATGGATAACTAAATTTTTCAAGAATGATCCAATATCTGTTCTGACTGCATGCTCAAGGATTATTACCTTGTATCCAACTTCCATTACAATGATAGACCAATTTTTGAAAAAAGAAAATGAACATTATATTACTATTTTACAAAATCCATCTTCCCAAGGTTTAGAAAATTTGCATAGAGTTTTGTTGTCATATTATAGATTATTATACGAAGATAGAGAATTATTTTGTCATTATGTTACACCTGATGTTATCTATGCACTTTTAGAGAACGAGACATCAGACGGTGTTGTTAAACTATTAGCATGTTATATCTTATCTGAATTATTAGATAGTTCAGAAAATTCAATGGAAAAATTAATTTCAATGAATATTAAGAATGACGATAGTGTTTTAGGAACTTTTGAAATGAATAGAAATGTCAATTATAGATTTTTAGCATTAAATGAATCAAAAAGGTTCTCAGACTTTTCAGTTTTACCAGTCCCTAAAGAGTCATTTGAAAAAATACCAAATCATTCCTATTTTTTAATTAGCAATGAAGATTTATCGGAGAATGTTGTATCAGTTTGTGGTGTCTTAGTATCTAACACCGATAGTATACCCGATGATAAGAATTGTGAAGCTCCAAATTTTGTTCCAACCACCAAATCAATCACAACATTACGTGAGTTGGCAACATCAATTAGGGCATCCAAGCCAGTAATGCTTGTTGGTCGTACAGGCTCCGGTAAAACGTTTTTAGTAAACGAACTAAGCAAATATGCGAAATGCAAAGATTCTATTATTAAAATCCATTTAGGTGAACAAACTGATGCAAAGTTATTAATTGGTACATATACTTCTGGTGAAAAGCCTGGGACTTTCGAATGGAGGGCAGGTGTTTTGACTAATGCTGTTAGAGAAGGTCGTTGGGTGCTGATCGAAGATATAGATAAAGCACCTACTGAAGTCCTTTCAATTCTATTGACATTGCTAGAAAAAAGAGAATTAACAATCCCATCTAGAGGTGAAGTTATTAAAGCGGCAAGTGGTTTCCAACTAATTTCAACAGTATGCATGAATGAAGATACAGCACATAAGGATTCTGCTCATTTCAATACCCCTAACATTATTGGTTTAAGAATGTGGAACCTAATAAATATACAGGAACCAACAGAAAATGACTTGAAAGCTATTCTATGCCATAGATATCCAGTTTTGTCCAATCTAGTACCAAAATTAATTTCAACTTACAAATCGGTGAAGAATATTTATCTCGATCCTAGGTTCACATCTTTAAACAGAGGTGCACATGCTAGAACTGTATCTGTAAGAGATCTTATGAAACTTTGTAACAGATTAAACACTTTATTTGCATCAAACAATATCACCAATCCTTCTCAATTGATCGAATCGTCTGTTTATGACAGTATTTTTGCTGAAACTGTCGATTGCTTTGCCGGTGCTATCTCAGAAGCAAAGGCTTTAGACCCTATTATACAGTGCATTGCTGAAGCATTAGATATTCCATCATCCCGAAGCGCCTTATTTTTAACAAAACATGTTCCTATTTTTGAAAATCTAGAAGATAATATTCATATTGGTAGAGCCTCTATCAACAAATCTCAAATTTCAATGCAGAAAAAATCCATTAATGCAACATCATTTGCTACTACAAATCACTCTTTAAGACTAATGGAATGTATTGGTATAGCCGTACAAATGACTGAACCAGTTTTGCTTGTTGGTGAAACTGGTACTGGTAAAACTACAGTGGTGCAACAGCTTGCCAAATTATTAAATAAGACTCTAACTGTAATCAACGTTTCGCAACAGACGGAAACTGGAGATTTATTGGGTGGATACAAACCAATAAACGCTAAATCACTCGCCGTACCTGTGCAAGAAATTTTTGAAACTTTGTTTACGTCAACATTTTCCATGAAGAAGAATGAACGCTTTTATAAAATGTTGCATAAATGTTTCAACAAAAATCAATGGAAAAATGTGGTAAGATTATGGAATGAAGCTTATAAATTATCACAACAAATATTAAAAATCGATGATGAAGTAGCAGAAGAAGGAACTAAAACCAAAAAGAGGAAGTTAAATAACAATGAAAAGATATTATTGTCAGCAAAATGGGACGAGTTCCAAGATATGGTTAAAAAGTTCGAAGCACAATCAAATACCTTGAACAATTCATTCGTGTTTAATTTTGTGGAAGGTTCATTGATTAAAGCAATAAGAAATGGTGAGTGGCTACTGCTAGATGAAATTAATCTTGCTACTGCTGACACATTAGAGAGTATTTCCGATCTACTTTCTGAACCATCCTCAAGAAGCATATTACTTTCCGAGAAAGGTGATACAAAACCAATCAAAGCTCATCCGGACTTTAGAATTTTTGGTTGTATGAATCCTGCCACTGATGTCGGAAAACGTGATCTTCCATCTGGTATCAGATCTAGGTTTACTGAAATATATGTCCATTCTCCTGATCGTGACATTACCGATTTATTATCCATTATTGATAAGTACATTGGGAAGTATAACGTCAGTGACGAATGGGTTGGTAATGACATTGCTGAATTGTATCTTGAAGCCAAAAAGTTATCTGAAGAAAACAAAATTGTAGATGGCTCTAACCAAAAACCCCACTTTAGTATCCGTACATTAACACGTACCCTTCTATATGTATGTGATATTGTAAAGATTTATGGATTGCGTAGAGCTCTATATGATGGTTTTTGCATGAGTTTTTTAACTTTACTAGATTTAAAGTCAGAAGAATTACTACTTCCAATTATCGAAAAATATACTTTAGGTAGATTGAAAAATGTCAAGTCAGTTATATCACAAATACCCCCATCTCCAGGTCCTGATTATGTCCAGTTCAGACATTATTGGATGAAAACAGGCTCATTACAAGTAACAGAACAACCTCACTATATCATTACTCCTTTTGTTGAGAAAAATATGCTGAACTTGGTCAGAGCTACATCTAGTAAGAGATTCCCTATCCTTATCCAAGGTCCAACATCTGCTGGTAAAACTAGTATGATTAAATACCTTGCTGAAATCACTGGTCATAAGTTTGTCCGTATTAACAATCATGAACATACCGATTTACAGGAATACCTGGGTACTTACATCACTGATGATACAGGAAAGCTATCGTTTAAGGAAGGTATTTTAGTCGAAGCTTTAAGAAAAGGTTATTGGATTGTACTTGATGAATTGAATTTGGCCCCAACCGATGTTTTAGAAGCTTTGAACAGATTGCTAGATGATAACAGAGAACTTTTCATTCCAGAAACCCAAGAAGTGGTCCACCCACATCCTGATTTTATGCTTTTTGCTACCCAAAACCCTCCTGGTATCTACGGTGGTCGTAAAGTTTTGTCAAGAGCTTTCAGAAACAGATTTTTAGAATTGCATTTTGATGATATTCCTCAAGATGAATTAGAAATTATCATTCGTGAACATTGTCAAATTGCACCAACATATGCAAAAAAAATTGTAGAAGTTTATCGTCAATTGTCCATTGAAAGATCAGCAAATAGACTATTTGAACAGAAGAATAGTTTTGCAACTCTTCGTGATTTATTCCGTTGGGCTTTTAGGGAAGCAGTAGGCTATGAACAATTGGCTGCCAATGGGTATATGCTTCTTGCTGAAAGGTGTAGAACTCCTCAAGAAAAAAAATTGGTTAAGGAAGTTTTGGAGAAAGTAATGAAGGTTAAATTAGATATGGAAAGTTACTACTCTAATCTGGAAGATAAATCATTATTAGAAATGTCCACATCTGTAGTTTGGACTAATGCTTTACGCCGTTTAGCAGTTCTTGTTTCGACATGTATCAAAAACAGAGAACCAATTCTATTGGTGGGTGAGACAGGTTGTGGTAAAACTACTGTATGCCAAATATTAGCAGAGCATCTGAAAATGGATCTTGTAACCCTGAATGCTCACCAGAACACAGAAACAGGTGATATTCTCGGAGCCCAAAGACCAGTTCGTAATAGATCTGATCTTCAAGTCCAACTTTCTTCTTTGTTAAAGAATACATTAAACTCTAATGCAAATGACAGTTTGGAAGCATTGATTGAAAAATTCGATAATTCAGACCAATCTCAATTTACCGCGGATATAATATCTGAAGTTAAGTCACTAAGAGATTCATTAAATGTTTTATTTGAGTGGTGCGATGGGCCGTTAATTCAATCCATGAAATCAGGTTCTTTCTTTCTTTTTGATGAAATTTCTTTAGCCGATGATTCAGTTTTAGAAAGATTAAATAGTGTTTTAGAACCAGAA